ACGAAATCTAAAATGAAAATTGTAAATAAGCAATCTGTATGTAAAAAACCACCTGTATGTCAAATATGTCTTATATGTCTTAAATGACATGATGAATTGGAATGGGGGACCCTGATGTAAACAAGACGAAAGTCTTTCTCTGGTCTGTATCCCCTTAACAATTGTATGTTTTGAGCTGTACTGTACTGTACCCAATATACAAGCTGTTAATAAACTTTTCAATCAATCAATCAGAACATTATTTTAACCTTAAGTTATTTTTAAGTATTTATCAAAGGAGTGTTTTTAAAGTAACTTTGTACAAATAAACCATTTTACACCTATTGTGCTGTCCTTCTCACTGTATTGGTGTGGCCGGGAATCCGAATCTTTCAATATAAATGTGATGTTAACAGGCCTCACTAGGCTGTTACAGTAACATAAGAAATTGCCACTACACTATGCAGAGCGGGTCTGTTGCGGGCATTCACATCTCCATCAGCTGGTAGAAGATATGGCTCACTGGACCTGTGATAAAAAAACCTGAAATACACAGGAACATAGAGGACAGGTAATTTCCCCACAATTGGTGATGCATTTTAGCACAAAATCAAAAACCCTTACATGTATTTTCCTGTCATTTAGCACATCAACCCTCAATTTTGTTTCCATATAAGGTCTCGCCAAAAGGTTGCATATCGAGCAGCTGCAGCCGAGTCGATCTCACCGGCCGGGGCTCCACTCTTGATCTTTTTTCTTGCCTCCAAAATCTGAGACAGAACATGTCCTAAAGCTGAGCTCTGACATTTTACAGAGAACATAATATATCTACAAGATAATAAATTGTATTGATTATGAAAATAATATTTAGGTGTGGCTTTAGTTTTGAGGGACAAAATCTCACAATTGTCAGCATTACAAAACTTCAGAGATTACCAGAGGTGGAGTTATTGGGCATGAGTCATGGCAGTGTGTGCTGATTCGAAATGATTAATAGAGGCAATTACTTTATTCAATGGTTACTGATGCGGCTTTCACACCAGCGCTTTTCCCTTTCTAGCTCCGAGCTAGAGCTTTTCTGGTTCAGCTCCGGTTTCCCTTTTCTGCTCCCGCTCTGTTCACACCGCCCAGAGCCCGACTGGTGCTGCCGCTGCTGCGTCATGACGTCATCGTTTACATCGCTGATTTGCTCCCCAACGGCGTTACGGCGCTCACAACAACAACAACAACAACAACAACAACAACAACAACAACAACGGGGAACTGCGTCGGGTCGATGATCGTGTTGCTTTTAATCACACGAAGCCAGATTAAATTGAATAACGACTTCTCCAACCTTATACTTTGCTCCAGAGTACCGTAGTTCATTGTTTATTAATGTGTTTCTGCAGCATTTACCGACCGCTGCAGTGTTGGCTGCTCTTCCACGGGAGTTTATTCTCCTCCGTTAGCTCCCGGTTAGCTCACACTGCTGCAGCCGCTCTAAAGTATTCACTGTCCGACTCACACAAGCAGCTGATACATATCCCCAGTTCCCCTTAGCCTAAGTGAATGTGTGTCAGTCTGAATTGACGCTGTTTGGTATCACAACGCTGTTATGAAAGTTTCTCTGGTATAAAATGGGTGATGTTAGCATAGCAACCGAAGCTAAACTGACTACTTAGTTACTATTGCTATCCTATTGTGGCATAAACCGTTTTCTACAGGCACATTTTACCGGCGTATTTTTATTATGATTCTACTTGTGATAGTCGGACACGACAACCTGTGCAGCCCATGTATTGATTCCATCCGATAGCTGCTATAATACAAAACAAAACGTCTGCCTCTCTCCACAATGATCAATAACAGTGAACGGATGGTCAAAGTAAGGTACAAATAAACAGAATCACACGAAGCCTGGTTAGTGTTTGCCTGACTTTATAAGTGTGTTTATAAGCACTACTGCTTGTAGTCAGGCATGACAGTCGACCCATGTTCAGGGGAGGAGGGTTTAGTTTCCTGCACGCCTAGACGTAAGAGAGACGTAAGCGACGCCACCTCTTAGCTCCGATGCTCTTGCCTCTAGACCGACAATTTTTTGGAGCTGGAAGTGAACCCGATTCCGGAGCTAAGAGCCGGCGCCGCTGCGGTGTGAACAGGAAAAACCGGCGCTTTTCAGGCTCCAGCTCCGAGCCGGAGCTGAAAAAGCGCTGGTGTGAAAGGGGCATAAGAGTTAAAGACATTCTTAAAATGTTGGGGAAAGAATGTGTCATGCATACATTTCTTACGCAACACACTTTTAATTGACAGCCTGTGCATATCCCTGCCGACCTGGTGGACCAACTGAAGCCACTGCCGCTGGTGGATTTCCGCTCCAAACAGGGACTGGCCTGTTTGGAGGAAGCCATCAGATTTGCAGATCAGCTTCATGCTGTTGACACTTCAGGGGTGGAACCAATGGATTCAGTTCTGGAGGACAGGTATGGTTCAACCAGTTATGAAAACAGTGTATTTGTATGTTGGCCTCCTCATCCCAGCTATATCAAATGAGCCCCAACTGTAGCACAGTTTTAAACTGAGCCTATTGCATAAATATTGCTCTTCAAACACACTGTTGAAGAATATTTTGTGGCACCACTAGGTGAGAATAAACCTGAATACATGTATTTTTAAACATTAGAGCGGATTGTATCATTGGTTTTAAATAATTAAGAGTATATGGGAATGAAATTGAACAAGGCCCCATTGGTTGCTGATGTACTTCTGCCTCTCTACACTTGCCTGCACTATATGCTCTTCCCATACATTTGTACTACTGGCTTCTCTATGGCTGAATAACTAATCAGAGTTTAAAGAATATATTAATATGGACTGGTGCAATATCCAAATCTCAAAAGACACAATATTTTATAAGGTTAAAGGTGTGTAAAGATACCATTTTCTATCAGGCAGTGTTGTGATTCACAAACCAGATTCTAAAGACTTAAAGGTCCCATGTCATGGCCATTTATACTGATCATAATTCCATTGTTGAGGTATATTAGAATAGTTGTGCAATTTTCCAAACTCACATTGGTTTCTCATACAGCATCTCTGTATAGTATGTGTATTCACTCTCTGTCCTAAACGGCTTGTTGGACCTCCCCCCCACCCTCCCTCCTTGTGAGCCCACTCTGTTCTGATGAGTCTACCACCATTACAGCGGAACATCAGTGATTATGTGTTGCTATGGCGTTAGCAACCAGAAAATGACACCAGTAAGGACAAACCGATGAGAATACTGCGTGGGGTCTGGGTGCCGTGTTGGCGGGACGTTGCGCGGCTCGCTGCTGCGAGGAGCGGACAGTGTGAGCTGGGTTCGTTTCCTGCTTGCTGCATGCGGATCTGCGAGACAGCGAGACATCGCAAATGGACGCGGGCTGGGTGCTGAGGGGGCTGCAGCACCCCCATCTGCAGCAACCCCCCCCCCCCCCCCCTCACAGTTTCGCCGCTGAGAGAGTGTGTGTGTGTGTGAGGAGCTCCACGGATTGGTCCATTTGGGTATGGTCACATCACTGTACCCAGGAAGAAAAAGAGAAATCAACGAGGCGTTCTGGGGCAGCACAGACAGGTCTTTTCTGTGTTTGGACAACCTGTGTTATGAGGACATTGATAAGGAATGTTGTACAGGGCTTGTGACTTACATTGTGACAGTGATTGTCAGATGTCCTGTTTTTATTCAAGTGTTGTTTAACTTTGGTAATAAAAAACATGTTCTATCTTTTCGTTTTGTTTGTTTTAGGTTTACTGTGTGTGACTAATAATAGACTGACGTGTTATTTAGATTTTAACTGATGAAAGGATTTTCCCTTTCCTTTTAAAAACGATGCAGACCTGTCAACACATGATCTAATCTGTGAATCATAAACCTGCCTTAAGGCTCTGATCACCTGAGCTTTACAGGGAGGTTGTGAGGCCTTCATTTTAAGTGGTGTAAAAAAACCGTTTTAGTCTGTATTATTATTTAAGATACAAACTAATTATCACAAGAGGAGGGCCAAGTAAAGACCTAATGAACAGAGCTCTCCCATGCTGAACAGTCCTCCTGCATTAGTAAAGTATAAAGTTAGAAAAACCAAAGAGATAACAGAACAAGATTGGTAGTAAAAGAGAAGAGACTATTTATTATTTCCAATTGTTAAAACAAATACACCATACAGAAAGAAAAATGTTATCAACAGTTTCCAAAAATACATCTCTGATGCAATAATTACACAAAATAATCTGCGTTAAATTTCATGCAATTTATCTTAGACAAACTTCCTACAGTTATCGCGTTCACTTTTTGGTTTAACTACAGTCTAGTCTTAGTTCAGTACTGTTATTGTTATGGTTTAAACCAGGGGTCTCCAAACTTTTTTCACCGAGGGCCACATACAGAAAAATATACGAAGGGCTGGGCCCCTCACTAGAGGTATATTGCCTCATTAGTTCATTTATAAATTAGCTAAATCAATCAAATGTAGGTAAATTATGCTTGTGAGTGTTAGCAGCTCATCCCTTCAAACAGAAGCTCAGATTGCCTAATAGGGAGAAATAGGAAGGGTGTATTTCAAGCTTGTTATGTAAATAAGTCATTGGGCTTTTTTCTTATCAAATAAGATAATTTATGCTAGAAAATGTTTCCAACTTTAATTGACTGAATTTATTTGAAAAGTAGTCTTAACACATGAATACTACTGTGTTAATAAGACCACTTGTCAATGTTACATTATACTTTTTTTATTTGCTGAGGGCCGATTCAAAATGGTCCGCGGCCCGTAGTTTGGACACCCCTGGTTTAAATTTATGAAATAACAATACTAAAGAGTCACTTTGAGTTTATCAGTTTATTCAATTACAGAAAAAACTTCAGGTCAAGGGGAAAGTCCGGGACTACGCCCTCGTGCACTTTACAATGTCCAAAACACTGCCGGTCATTTTTGGATAATAGAAACCGAAAATGATGAAGGCATGGAAGGGAAAACGAATCTTAAACCAGGGGGCGGGCTCGATCAGCTGGGCAGACTGTATATAAACAGAGGAGAGAAGAAGCCTGCGTCAGCTGCTCCGGAGAAACGATTCCTGTCAGTTTAAAGAAGAGCGACGATTTCTGGAGGATTTTTCTAAACTTATCTCAAGGTATGAAGTTTTCTTTATCAGCACTGTCATGAAATGTACCGCAACACTTTATTCTCTGGGGGGAACAAGTTTTTTTCTAGTGGACTTATTTGTATTAATGTATTCAGTGATGTAAAGTATAGAATATATTCACTGTACTTTTTTTTTTAAATGAGAGACTTGTTGGGGATGTTTTGGTACTTTGTACTAATAAAGTTCAAAGGTAAATAGTGTACTTTTACTCCACTGCATTTATTTAGTTACCTTGCAGATTTGCATTAATGTTTTGAAATGGTTACCCCAAAGTATTCACTTTTATTTAATAGGCTGTACCTTTACCAGCTTTGATAACACTTTAATGTATCAATAACATATAATCAAAACATGGAACTTGTATTATTCTGAAATAGGCCAATCTGCATAATGAGTACTTTTACCTTTGATACTTTAAGTATATTTGTATGCTAATACTTTTGTACTTTTACTTGAGTAACATTTTTAATGCACAACTTTTACTTGTAAAAGAGTATTCCTCCACTCTGGTACTTCTACTTTTAATTAAGTACACACTCTTAGTATTTCTTCCACCTCTCAATGTATTTACCTTTCTTTCAGGCCACTTTCACCATGGATCTAACCATCAGTCTGATGAATGGGAGCTCCCACATCCTGAGGGTGCACCCGCATGACACAGTGGGCTCTCTGAAAATACTCATCCAGCAGAAACTAAGGATTTCATGTGAGACCCAGAAGCTGGTCTTTGAGAACGGCTGCAGCACAACTCTCAACAACGACTCTGCGACCCTCGAGTCCTACGGCCTGCGCTCCGGGGCCAAGGTGAACCTGCTGGTGACCACACCGGCCATAATCCAGGTGTTCCTCAAAAACGAGAAGGGGGTGAGCAGCACGTATGACATCAAACCGGATGAGATGGTGAGCCACTTCAGGAGCAGGGTGGAGGAGAGAGAGCGGGTCCCGGTGAGCCAGCAGAGGCTCCTCCACGAGAGCAGAGAGATGAACGAGGGGAAACTCTCCGACTACAACGTCCGAGCAAATAGCACCATCTTCCTGAACCTGCGGCTGAGAGGAGGCTGAGGACACTTTCAGTTAAAAGACATTTCTGGACATTCCTTTATTTTATCTAAAAATGAAGATCATTTAGCTTATATTTTTATTTAAATTGCACTCATTAATACATTCCTCGATTAGAAATCATTCCAAAAATAAAACTTTCTTTGTTTTGGCTTTACAAATATGTTATAAACACATCTTCATGTTATAATTGTATTATGACACTTCAAATCTGACTACATCAAATGTACACTGTTAAAAAATAATAAAGATTGTAATCTTGCATGTCTGTTCTCATTTCCTGTTCTTTACTGAATCTTCAGCTCAGGGTTGAGCTGCACTCTGTACAGACCACAACCAGAAGTAACCAGAAAGACACACTTTAGCATTGGATTAAAATTGACATTATGATCAAAATAATATGTTCACAATGTTCACTACAGTATCACATTTCTGTAAGCAGTGCTCTGTAAAAAAAACACTTGCATGTATTATGTTGTCATTACAAATGTACTAACATACCAAAGCATGTTATAAAGGCTTAAACTCATTATACAGGTTTCTTAGGTGTATCCAAATAACTGTATGTGAGAATTAGTGTCCATCTTAGAAACAGGTCAAAAGGTAGTAGAGAAAACAGCCCAATGTTAAAGCCACAGCTTCCGGTTCAGTGAGGTTAGGTCGGGAAGCTTCATTTCCTCACAGATGCAAGGTAGGCGTACCAAAATAAGGCGACCATGTTGGCAAACAGCACTCGGAACTGAAAGCAAAAACAGACACAGGAAGGGAAGGGGGAAACCATTACAAGAGATTCATCTTTTGTTTGATGACAGGATGCCAATGAATGAAGGGCATACCTCGACAGGCACAAAGTTGATATTGACGAACTGAAAGGGAGTCCACACTTTCCAGTTCATTTTCAAGGCAGTCCAGTAACTTCCTCTCATCTTGCTTTCAAAGTCTCTCCATCCTTTTGCCTGGTAGAAAAGATGGGACGGTAATTTGGTTTCATTTATTTTTCATTTGTCTATGAAAACGATAAAGCATGTGTTTACTATACAATAAACATGAAGACACTGGACCAAATACTGTGGTCAAAATGTAGGTTGAAGCATTGCATGAGTGTTTTAATCATATGTTAAAAGGGGCAGTTTACCATTTTAACACATCAGATTAGTAATGCGAAAATAACTGCTTGCATAGCAATGATCTTTTTTGCATAGCAGAGGTCTGCTCTATAGAAATAACAGACCGAAGAATGCAGTTGACAATCAGAAGCAAGTATTCACAAATCTGTTCAAATATAAATATTATTTTATCCGAGATAATGATCAGTTTGGCCATGTTTTATCAAATTTAGCATTTAACAGTTGGGTTCAACATCAGTTCTGCAGGTTTTCAATAAAAGACGGGTTTGATCCGGATCTAGGAAGGTCATTTCAGGGGCTTTTTAAATCTCTGATTTTTAAAACTGTAAAGACCTTTAATAGGAAGTTTCATTGAATCTGTAAAATGCAAACAAATTTGAACAAAAAAACTGTTGTGACTAACTGGGTTATTGAACATTTGCTTTGCATGACAGGAGGTGTATCCTTTTTCTCCTTCAACCAGACTCAGGGCTAAACAAATTGCTCCCTCTGCTGCTGCAATTGTGTATTCCCACAACTTAATGCCGGAGCATCTCAAATCACTACAGAGCTCCTTTAATCTGATGTTAAGGGGGACAGTTTCTGAGATGACCTACCTCCAGGATGTTCATAACAAAGTAGAAAATCAGCAGAAAGCCAGGGGCAAAAATAAGCCGATCCAGTAGCAGACGTTTGACTATGCAGAGCGGGTCTGTTGCGGGCATCCACACCTCCATCAGCTGGTAGAAGATATGGCTCACCGGACCTGTGATACAAAACCTGAAATACACGAGAACATAGAGGACAGGTAATTTCCCCACAATTGGTGATGCATTTTAGCTCACAATCAAAAACCATTACATGTATTTTCCTGTCATTTAGCACATCAACCCTCAATTTTGTTTCCATATAAGGTCTCACCCAAAGGTTGCATATCGTGCAGCTGCAGCCGGGTCGATCTCACCGACCGGGGCTCCACTCTTGATCTTTTTTCTTGCCTCCAAAATCTGAGACAGAACATTTCCTAAAGCTGAGAGGATGCCACTAAAAATATCAAAACACACAAGAGAACTCTTTTAATATGCAGCAGATACAGTTATCATAGTATTATTATCCAATAAAACCAGTGTCAAAAACTAGGGGAGGTTTTCAGGGCAGAAGCTGATTGGCTACAGAGTGATGAGACCAGAGGGCAGTCAGTGGTTAGTGCAAACAAAGGAGATACACTTTGAAGTCAACAACCACATTGAAAACTGCTAACAAATTCGCAGAGGTGGGATGTAACGAAGTACATTTACTCAAGTACTGCACTTAAGTACAATGTATGCTACTTTATACTTCAATTCCACTACAATTCAAAGGTAAATAGTGTACTTTTACTCCACTACATGTATTTTGTACTTTTGTGGGACTAATAAAGGATTTCTGATTCTGATAGTTACTTTACAGATTTGGAATAATAATGTGAAATATAAATCAACACTTAAATAAGACTTTAGTTACACCTGGAGTATATTCACACACTACCCTTCAGAATACAAAGTCAATAAAACTAGCTGCACCTTCATCAGCTTTGATAACACTTTAATGCATCAATAAAATATAATAATCTACAGTAAAGGTATTTATTTATTTAAATATTTTTGCTACTTTGTACTTCTACCCTAATAAAGTTCAAAGTTAAATAGGGTACTTTTACTCCACTGCATTTATGTATTACATGTAGTTACTTTGCAGATTTGCATTAATGGTGTGAAATATAATCAACACTTAAATAAGACTTTAGTCACACCTGGATTATATTCACCAGTTACCCTACACAGTATTCAAATATATTAAATAAATAGGGAGCACCTTTACCAGATTTGAAACCACTTTAATGTATCAATAAAATATAATAAAATATAATATATATTATTCTGAAATGGACCAACCCGCATAATGTGTACTTTTCTACTTTAAGTATATTTTCATGCTAATGCTTTTGTACTTTAACTCGAGTAACATTTTAAATGGAGTACCATTACTAGTAACAGAGTATTCCTACACTCAGATACTTCTACTTTTATTTAATCTGAGTACTTCTCCGTACCTCTGCAGATTGCGACATATTACAATGTAGCAAACAGTAATCTATACAAAAACACGTTGATTTGTTCTGAATGTCAAACTGTGTAAACAACTTGAAACAAGCACGAGGCTGCAGAACAGTGACAGTCAGGGAATAAGCAGAGCTACAGACCTCGTCACAGACTTAGTAAGGATGGGGTAATTCTTCAGAAGAACCAGATACTGCTGCAGTAAACGGAAATGTATGGACGCATCCCGGACTGGCAGGCTCTGCACAGGCATTGTCAGTAGTTTAACTGCACAAACATTAACAGACTGACAGGGGCGAAGTTTAAAAGGAGCTTTCCAATATCTTCCTGTTTACGTCATTACGTCACTGGCAGAGCCGCGCCTTTACGTCGACAAGAAGGCGAATTACTTCCTGTTTTTTTACCCCCAAAGGATTCTGCACAGGAGGGTGCTGTTGTAAATGTCAATTTATTAAAAGGACAGTGTTTATTTTTATAGTTTTAAACAAGGCAACTTCCCTGCATTATGTTTTATATAAATTGATTTCAGAAGTGGGAGAAGTTATGAAAGTACTGAGATCTTGTACTTAAGTAAAAGTAGAAGTACCAGAGTTTAGGATACTCTGTTACAAGTCCTGCATTAAAACTGTTACTCAAGTAAAAGTACAAAAGTATTAGTATCAAAATATACTAAAAGAACCAAAAGTAAAAGTGCAGATTCGACCATTTAAGAATAACATATGTTTGTATTATAATTATTGATGCATTAAAGTGTTATCAAAGCTGGAATAGTTTTAATGACTTTGTACACTGAAGGGTAGCTTATGAATTTTACTACATGTGTAACGCAAGTCTTATTTAAATGTTGATTATATTTTACATTTAAAAAATATATATGCTAAGTAACTGCAGTAAAGGTATTAAATAAATGTAGTGGAGTAAAAGTGCACCTTTTACCTTTACCTGTATTGGGGTAGAAGTAAAAAAAAAAAAAGAAGGAAATTCTCAAGTACAAGTCTCCCCAAAGTTGTACTTGAGAACAGTATTTGAGTAAATGTACTTAGTTACTTTACACCACTTCTTAATTTGACTTAACTGAATGTTAATTAAACTCAAGCAACTTGTGTTAGTTTAAGCAAAGTGACAGCTGGTGAAATGACTGACATGTTTACTTGCAGGAAAAGCAGTGGCCTTATTATTTAGCCTTGTGCATGATCCACACGTTATTTTACTAAAACAAAAGAAACCACTAATGTGAAGTGATTCTGAAATGCAGTGTGACGTGAGCTGCTCCACTTGGTATGTGTATCTGAGGTAGCTGGCTGAGTGATCACATTAAGAAACAATATCCACTATTTAGAAACTCTTTAATAGAACCAACATTTCAATAAAGTAAAGAGAAAACACAGACATATTTACAATGTTGGAAAAACATATTGAGAAAGATATAGTTAAGAATATTCAGTGTTAAACACTTAATATTTTCTTGACTCTCATAAAGAAATATCTGCACATTCTATTGATAAAACAGGAAGCTTATGGGTGGGTTTTGATCTGTAGTTAACGAACATTCATGTTGAGAACCATGAAAAACAGTTCAAAGAGACTTCCAGTTTATGGGAGACTTTCCCGATTGCACCAGGTACTCGTTGGCCTTGGAGAAATGTTTGCACCCGAAGAATCCTCTACGAGCGGACAGGGGGGAAGGATGCACCTCCTGCAGGACGAGGTGGCGTTTCTGCAGACACAGAAAACATGAACTTAGATGCATGAACATTAGAAATACGCTTTCTTTTAAAACCACAGTGCTGCAGACTAACCCCATCAATGGCAGCTCCTTTCTTCTGAGCATACGCTCCCCAAAGCATGAACACCAGGCCTTCCTGGTTGTTGCTGAGCCACTGCACGACGGCGTCAGTGAACGTCTCCCAGCCTCTGCCTTTGTGGGAGTTGGCGTTGCTCGCTCGGACGGTCAACACAGCATTGAGCAACAACACACCTGATTGAGCCAGGACACAGATGGAGAAGACGGCAGTCAGATAATTGCTATCATCTTTGCGTAAACATTCAACAAACTGCTTCTTTTTTTTTTTTAAATAACCTTGTTCGGACCATCCAGTCAGATCTCCGTGTCGAGGGTGCTGAAAGCCTTCAATGTCCGTCACCAGTTCTTTGTACATGTTCTCCAAACTACAAATAAAAAACATCAAAATGTGTGTTGAATATGTCAAAGCATTGCACATGACTGCATTGTGTGATTTTAGAGAAGAAGAAGATCACTGGCAGAGATAATGAACATGTTTTAACCTGGGTGGAGGACGCTCTGGCTTTTTTACACTGAAGCACAATCCATGGGCTTGGTTAGGACCATGGTATGGATCCTGGCCAAGAATCACCACTTTGACCTAGAAATAGAGACAGATCTTCAGCAACACAAAATACGTTGCCACTAACTCGGATTTTCCATTTTTCGTTGCACTTTAATTATCCATGTGTTGTCCTCAGTGCCTGCTGCATTGTGTAGGCGGCTTTTTATGGATTTAGAGCATGGGAGGTGCTAAGATATGCTTGTCAATTTATGTCCCAAAAGCTATGAATGCACTGTAATACTGCATGAGCGTAGTGAGAGGGAGGATGTCTCACAATAAATAAATAAAACAGTTTAAGTTTATTGTTTGGGGGTATGTTTGTTAAGATAAGATATACTTTTATTGATCCCAGTTAGGGAAATTATTTTGTCACAGCAGCATGTAGATGCATTGCACATGAATGAAAAGTTAAGGAAAATAGATATAAACAGCCAATGTATGCATAAGCAGTACAAAAAAATAGAAAATAAACCAAAGAGAACAGTACATGTGTACATATCAACAGTAAAATATGTTTATCTAGAGTATCTCTTTTGAATATACAATATCAATTAATATCAGATTTACAGATAGAACTGAAGATGGTATACATGTTTGTTGAAGTTAAAGGACACTACAAGGGGCGTCAGGCATTCAAACAAGGCTAAAAAAAATGTCATTTTATTATTGTTTTGACTCTGGAACCGCATCAAACAAAGACACAGAAAAGCTACATGTATGCCAACCTTTAAAAACATATTTAGTCTATATTAAAGCTATTTTCTACACATTTGTGCACCTTGTTTTTATATTTATATTATACTTTGTCTCTTAAAATTCCTCAAATTGGGATCAATAAAGTACTTCTTATCTTATTTATGCCATGGATCAATAACAAATGAAGGGGGTTTAAGGGGACAGATAAACTCACATCTCGGATGTCACACATCTGGGTCCAGGTGAAGACTTCTTCAGCAGGAGGGTACACAGTGCAGCTCTTCCTCTCTTGAGAAACAAAATCCATCAACTGTGGCACAGATATAAAGTTATTCAAACTGTTCGAAACACGAGGCTTACTATACGAGCAGTTTTATTTGTTTTTCTCTTACGTTTTTAAAATAAGGCTTTTCAAACTCTACTGACAGTCCCTCTCTCCAGCTTTCCCCAAACCCTGGAGGTGTTTCTGCGGAAGTCCTTTCCTCCATTGCTGCTCTCTTGTTGCAGGCGATCCTCTCCAGCTGATCCGGGGACAGAGGAGCAGGAGACGGGCTGGAAACCTCCGACTCCACCGCCGAGGACTTTGGCTTCTTCTGCACAATTTTGGTGTATTGAGCAAAATACAAAACTTGAGAGAAAGGTGCGCCTTGAGGCTTTAAAAACCTTCGACAATGTATTACAAACATATCGTAGTGGGCGGACTATTGCACCACGTTTATCAACAATCAAGAACACAGCCGTGCTTGTGAACGCAGCTTGGGTTACACTGCACGTGTCGCGGGAAACTACGAATCCCTTCCGTTTTAAATACTAATGCAAGTACAATCAATGTAAGTGATGTTTTAATATGCATCTTTTAGCATTACACACGTTACATGAGGCTAATGGTAAATGACAAATAATATAAATTGTGCTCACCGGGTGTTTTGCATCCTTCTCGGATTCATTTACGTCCTTAGAAATCCTCTTTTTCGAGACTGGAGAGAAAAATGAGTTAATCGTTTTTTGTCCAATCATTTTAGCTGAAACACCTGGACGGTAAGGTAAGAACGAAACGGAGGTGGGCTAAACGGATAACTAAAACCAGCACCCTCTCTCTGGGACTGAAGTGTTCGCGCCAACACGAAGTGACGAACCGGGGTTATGTTAATGAGCTGAGATATGTTCAAGACACACACTGCTGTTTGGGGTTTTCCACAGTTTGTAGCAGGTAAAGTAAAGGGTTATGGCTAGAAAGGATCCGTCTTGTGTAAATATGACGTCACATGCTCGTTGTAACTGAAGTTACCTACTGTAACTCCAGTTTCTATGAGTATTGGCGTAGCCCTCTAAGGCTATCGCTATTGGGTGATCTCCCTGCGCACCCGCGCAGAACTGAAAACAGTAGGCTTGTTTGAGACAAGCGAGACCTGCGCAGTTGCGATCAACGTCTTGCTAGTGCGTTGCATGATGGTTAGTCATTTTGTCCGACTGGCTCTGGAGGCTCCATGGATGTATAATAAGAATAATAATAAGGGAGGCTCGCCTACATGAGACGTTGAAATCTCGCGGGACAAAGACGCCCGCAGCCTTGAGAGCGAGGCGCGGCGAGGCGGCGCAGTTGCTCTCCACGGGCTGCGGAAGCGAAATGCTTGATGGGAAACGACTCGCTGGTATCTCGAGCTGAGCGCTCATTGGTGGTTTTTACCCCGTGCTGCTGATGAAACTCTCCAATTGGCTCGGCAAAAGTTTGTTGTTGTTTTGTGTCAGTTTTACGTCGCCACATCCATTCCCATTTTTCATCATTGTTCCACAATGTTTATCATCATGACATTAATATCTATATATTTTATACTATACTTGCACTGCTTACCGTTTTCATACTTTATATATCTTAGCACATTCATACACACTGTTCATACTGCTCACAGGCTGATATCTAGTGTATTCATACCCCTCACTGTTTATTCATCATTCAATTCATTCTATATTTTATTCTGTCTATTGTGTACATTACTTTTCACTTTACTGCTTGTTGCACCTGGTTAGAAGCTAAACTGCATTTTGTTGTCTCAGTACCTGTAATATGTGCAATAACAATAAAGTTGAATCTAATCTTGAGCAGGAACAAATGTATTTACTTAGTACATATCTGACATTAACGATAAAACACATTTGTGCATTATTTATAAATGCAAACCTTGACTCCGGAGGTGGCGGTATGCAATCCGCCAAAAAACCGAGAGAAGAAGAATAAGAAGCCGACTCCGAGCTGTCCGACCTCAGGCGAGCTTTTTGAGACCTCCCCCGGCTGCGATCGGCTATTCTCGTCTACTTTCGAGGCGAGCCGCAACGCGTCTCAAACAAGCCTACTCGGGCCTTGTATTGTGAACGCAACGCTGCGCAAATGTGGGTCTGACTCTCCCTCACAGAGGGTGACTGGCTGTCTACATGATGTGGCCTGCCGACATGGCCACTTTCATACAGATCATACACTAATGCCCTCGATTGGTCTCTGTGTGTCATTCAAAGCTCGTGAGGGTGTGTATGTGTGGCGCGAGCGAGAGAGAAAGCGCGCACACCGGTTACGTGTATTGTTGTTGTTAGCATCTGGTGCTAGCTAGCTGCGCTAACGGATATAATGAGCTGTCAACAAGGTGGAGGAGAGTCCTCTCCTGTCAGACTGAGACTGATAACTACCGCTCAGGTGAGGTAAAGGACTCCGAGTGTTTAGATAGTTAACTTAATGTAAGTTCTCTGTGGGTATCAAACGGTTTGGTCACCATTTATGTAAACACATATTTCCATTTGAGGGGTAGTGATTAGTAAAATATGCATGAATAATAACAAAAAAATGTTAACTAGGTGAAAAAAGGTAAGATACACTTTAAAAACTTGTTGAGCTAAAACTAGTCTTTGCTGCTGCCTCAAAGAGGAGCAGGAGGGAGACAGGAGAGGCTGGTTCAGGAGCCCAGACACACTCACAACTATAAATGAACCAAAATCAAATAAATAAACAAGTTTCAATATTGTTCATATTGGATATGGGATGTTATTGGCTATGGCCATGTTCTTATGATTTTATGATTATTTAAATGTAGGCTATACAGTTCTGTTTCATATGGGTGTAGTCTCTTTATTTCCCCCTCAAAGTGCACCAGATTGATGCATTTAAGTCCAACATTTAAAAAAAAATCTTAAACCATGTCCATATGTTTATTCTGGGGTAGTAGATTGAAAGTTTAGGGCTATCACTATGGGCAGCAAGCAACGCTGTAAATATTGACAAATAAATCCAGGAAAATGGCACAAAAGAAAACTGGTAGTGGCCTGGCTGGGTGTATAATTCCCGGCCTGACTCATGTCCCAGTCCGGCCCTGCCCAATAGCGATAGCCTTAGAGGGCGAAGACCGAAATATAACTCTCGTTGTAATCGGAGCGGCTCGGAAACACATGCAACATACACATTAATGCAGCAGCAATATTAATAGAGAAACATCAGACATAATAGTAAAACACTGAAAGTAACCTTTGATTGCACCAGGAGCTATCTTGGGACTTTTACTGCGACAACGTTGACTTGCCTGTGAATAAAAAATAAACCATAGTGTTGGTGATCTACAGTGTTGTCATTCTTCTTTGAACAGCAAGACCGCTAACACCCTATTTCAACAATCACACTCCCTGTCATTGACATCATTAATAGATAGTTTAGCTTCTCACCATCATTTGCTGTGGCCCACTGATGTTAACGATCGTAACTGAAAGGCTGCCTGACAAACGTAAACATTCAGCCACGTGACTTGCAAACTCTTGCGAGAGTTGTACACAAGATGGATCCTTTCTAGCCATAACCAAAGTAAAGGGTCAAGCATTGCTTCGAGAACAATCTATGGTTTTCATGAATTCTGTGTAAAGTTTACCGTGAAATCTATTCTGCGTCAAGTTGTATTGGTTATTATGGCTGTTGGTTTTGTTTTACGTTGTGCATAAAGGCATGTTGGGATCATTAATGGGCCACATTACAAATAAATGAATCGTCTATTTTGAAAAAGAGTCATTTTCAAGAAAAATGCCAAAATGAATGTGGTTCCATGTTCAGAAATGTGAGGATTTACTGCTTCTTCGGTGTCTTTTATCATAGTAAATTACATGTGTTTACTATTTGAACAGTTTTAACCTTGGGCTCAGGGAGAGTTTTCACTATTATCGCACATCATTTTAGATATAATTAGTCATTAATATGAATTAGTAGCTAACAGGTTATTTAATTCAAAAAATAATTGTGAGTTGCGTTATTATACTTAATAATAAAGCACTGAATACAACAAAAAATAACAAACATAATATTGGTGAGAAGTAAACTTGATGCAGACCCACTCTGCAGATTTGTTTCACAGTTCTTTATATAAATCTCACAATTGATAATGTTTGATTTTCTTTCGTCATCCAGGTCCTTAACAATCCTTCAACTGAGAACCCCAGACAACAGGTGACTGCAATGGAAACGTTTGTGAAAAAACGCTCCTTCATTAGTGAAGCCAGAAGTCCACAGAAGAAGATCAAACTGGAGAGTGATGAGGGGATGGAGCAGGATGAGGAAGATGAGGAGTTTTCTCATCCTGTTCCCTGGCAGAAAATAGAGGCGGAAGGACTAGACTGTGATTATGCTCTGCTGTTCTCCAAAGAAGAAGCAGACAACCTCTGTAAACAGCTGGAGGAGGAGGTGGTGTACTCAACAGGTACAATATCAAACCTTTTTCTGTAACATTAGGACGAGTTGTAGTGTACAGTTGAACGATTGTGGCTGTTTTTGTTCCAGGGGAAGAAGCTAAGGTCCAGGTGTTTGGAAAGGTGTACGATATACCAAGAAAGCAAGCCACATATGGAGATGCAGGTCTCACCTACACTTATTCAAGAGTGACACGTTTAGCCAACTCTTGGACTCCAACCTTGGAATATATACGGGATGCTGTCACTAAAACAACTGGACAAGCGTTCAACTTCGTCTTGGTCAACAGGTGAGACATTTCTGAATAAAAGCTGGAAAGAGACAAGTTTTACATTTGTCTCCCTGCTAAAATCTCAATCAATTTAAAATTCTAATCTTGCACTATTGTATGGTTTTTAAAATCAGTTTTATTGTTTATGTCTTATATGTTGCATTGTTGGAGGAGCCTGGGACATAATATTTTCATTACCATATTTACACTAGCTAATAAACAAGACAATAAAGCCTTTGAATCTTTAATCTTGAAACATTTTCTTCTCGCCTCCAGGTACAAAGATGGCCAGGATCACATGGGCGAGCATCGTGATGATGAGAAGGAGCTGGACCCCCTCTGTCCCATCGCCTCCGTCTCTCTGGGAGCGCCACGAGACTTTATCTTCCGGCACAGAGATGCTCGGGGGAAACAAAGCCTCAGGCAGATTGAACCCGTGAAGCTGGAGCTCGCTCACGGGAGCCTCCTCCTCATGAACTCCCCGACCAACACTTTCTGGTACCACAGCCTGCCTGTCCGCAAGAAGAGTTCCCTGCCTCGCATCAACCTGACATTTAGACGCATCGTAGTTGACAGAAAGAAATGACCAGCAGGGGGATTAACAACCTGGCCATTGGTCCAAGAACCCTCTGACTAAGGGACAATTAAGGCTGAACGGACAAGTCACATGCTGTTCTTGGCCACATGGACAAATAACATAAGCTAATATGGGTTTTTAGCTGAATCTGAGAGACTATGATGACCGCACAAGTCAGGACTGTGTACTTGGACTCTTAAGAATCAGAATATTTTTTACAGTGAACTTATTTGTGTTAAAAATGACCCAAACGTCTGACTGACTTGATTTCAAACTATCATTTCAGTAACTTGTCCTCCAGTTGTATGGTGAAGCAGCTGGCTATGTCTCCAAAGAAAGATAGAGACGTTGCCAGAGCGATGGAACACTTTCCTTATTACAAATAAAAACATTTTTTGAAAGGTGCGTTGTGTGCTGTTCCAAAGAAGGAACAATGACTTTGTGGATTGGGTTTAAAATGTTTTTAAAGTGGCTTCTGATCCATCCCTGGCAGATGTTGGCAGTTATCTGTAAATGATGAATCAGAAGATTATTTTGTCAGTCAGCATTTGGCACTAAAAAACACTTGAAATTATGCATTGTATTTCTTTTTGAGAAATGTACATCTCTACAGAGAAAATAATTAGTTTAAAACATTTGGTAACACTTGAAAGTCTTGTAGTGTTTGGGTCAAGGACAGGTCAGTAAGTGTGGGCTGATCTTCAGCATCTCTGCTGGCACACAATCTCTGACAATGATATTAATAATTCTCTGAATATGTAAAAAATAAAACTCTAAATTGAGTTTCTTTTTTTTTAATACCTGAAAACAATCACCTTTACAGATTGCACGCAAACACACACTCACGTTAATATACATCAGTGCAAATTGCAAATTGCAAACATTAACAAGAGGTTCTGAACCAGGCCATTTCTCCATTTGACTGGTTTGGTAGGAGCAAATCGGCAGCTTCACATCATTATTTATATTCAGGATAACTTGCCCAAAGACCTGATTAATACACTTTTTAGCATCAACACCAAGCAAGATGGCTTTGATGCATTATATTGTGTTAACATCATATTTAGCACACATGGCTTAATGCGTTAAACAATAAACATATTGACCATTAAAGACAACATGGCACTTTGACCTCAACTCTGCAAATCATGACAATGTGAGAAATCTTGGATAAATAGAAAAATACCAAATGCAACCTCTTGTGAAAAAAGTCCATAGAAACATTAATTCCAATAGTTTGACATACACTGTTAGCAATGATTAGGCTGATTCGTTTTTATGAGAACCACAGTTGGGGAAAGTTATACCTAATTGACATCATAATATGCAACAAATTCTAAATAATATCTCCAAGAATACTTACTTTAGCTACTTCAGTGTGAACAAGCAGTGGTTACACAATAACAGGAACATTACTCAGCATCATAGAAATGCCAGAGTTCAGTAAGCTTTACACATGAACAATGATTAGCAGGGCTGTCACTTTAGAGTGCACTATATTGTCAAATGTTCCCGTTTTTGTCCCACTGAAGCCAAAATGCTGCATGACAGAAACTGTTACACATGTCAAAGTATTGCAGTGAGGCACGATCAAAGATATTTGACAAAAAAATCATGCAGGTCCATAATCTTTGGGATTGAGAGCATCCCACTCTGGAGGAGGCAAAGCGTCCACTCGTGGATTTCATATAAAACCGGGGTTGATGGTTAGTCAGTGGCTGCTAGATCTGGTAGAAATGGTAATCTATTGAATGGCTGGAAGAGTTTGAACATTCATGTGGAAAAAAAAGGTTAATGTCAGTTTTTTCCTTTGGTGAGTTTGAATATTTACCTTATGAAATAAAATCATTATTGTAGCATTTGCTTTATTATTTTTCACATGAAGTTTCAAACTGTCATGATGTTGGATGAAGAAAGATTTTATTTTTTTTATTTTTTTCAATCTGCAGATTTTAATATTCCCCAGCCTTTCTAACGCTGATTCAGAAGACACCTTTCAACGATGTCCAACATGTTGCTGTGATCCATGATGTAAGAGAAACACCACGGTGACCCCAGGATGGTCTCATTGTCACAAAGTCATAACCCTCCTGACGGCCACACACAGCCGGGACAGTTTGATGGACAGGCAGCAGTCGGTGTTACTCCTCCGAGCGCGGAGCGAGGTCCAGCCTCCGGACTCTCTCGTAGAAGAGCATGTAGGCGTTGGACGACAGCACCTCCTGTAGGCTGGCTTTTCGAACCGAGTCGTCGGACACCCAGAGCCACTGGGAGCTGAAGGGTGAGGAGGGGCGGGCCGAGCAGGGGCTGCGGCGGTACGTCACGAAGTGTCCCGAGTGCATGTCGCCGTGGTGCACCAGCACGGCCGTGAGCTGGAAAAGGTACTCTGTAGAACTGGGAAGAGAGACGCTACAATCAGAAGAGATATTATGATGCTGCGCTGTGGAGGGCTGCCGTGTCTCGAGCTCCTCTCCAATGCTGCATCTGCACTATTTTTATTGTTTTTTTATTTGTTTTATTCATATTTATGTTGCATTGTTTTAGGAGCCTGTGTACAGTTTTTCATTGCATATCTACGCTGTAGCTACTGTGCAAATGACAATAAAGCCTTTTGAACCTTTGAGATATACAGAACGATGCATTATACAGGCAAAGCTTGTATATAGACTCTTATTGCACTATTTTATTTTTTGTATTTACTTGCACTATTTTTTTCTGTTTTTCTGTGTTATTGTGTTGCACTGTTGGAGGAGCCTGTGACCTAAGATTTTCATCGTCATAACTAAACTGTAGCTATGCATGGACGTATGACTAATAAAAGCCTTGAACGCCTTATTTCGAAAGCCTATTTCAACAACAAGGCAATTTAAAGCATTAAGACCTAGTGTAGAGTAAGCACAATATAAGGTTACATTTAAACACAGTTGTTAAAATAGCAAGAGAATAGAATAGGTACAGATACAGAAAAGTATTCACTTTTGACTTAAAGTTAGTAAGGGTTGCAGCAGGCCTGCAGTTTTCTTAGAGTTTGTTCCAGATATATAAAGCATAAAAAGTGACACTTCTTCCCTGTGTTTAGTTTGAAATAAAAAACATTATGTTGGGCTGATGGGCTTTGATTAGCACCACAGCTCAGAATAGCTTGATATGCATTGTATTCATTGTAAGGTTGCATCTTGACATTGAGGTTACCTGAAGTCATTTGTGAAGCCGTGCTGTGGGTTCAAGCCAGGAGACTGAAGAAACACAGAGGAAAATGTTCCGTTGGAAAAAGGTTTGTTATTGTTGTCCGGATGCTCTGCTCCTGGAAGACAAAAGAGAAACAAAATGCATGAAGACAAAAAAAGGGATTCTGAAGCAAATGATATCAAAGAGTTCAGAAAACACACCAGTGCCGTTAGCGGAGAGCTTTTCCGTGGAATCATCTGAACCTTCTGCCTTTTTGGGGTTCAGAGCACATTTGATCCGCTGACTTCTGTGTGTGTGAGCGTTGTGTTTGTAGCGGCCCATCGAGAGATACTCTGTAAACTGCACATGCTCCGGTCTCTTGATGGGGGAGCCTTCGTTGGACCACGTCAGCCTTTGTAAATGGATGCAGAGGCATTGGGGGAGCTAGCAGAGGGAGGAAGAAGGGAAAAAACAATACATCTTCAAACATCTTTCACTAAGAAATAAAGGGACGTTTTGATCTACTAAATTGGGCACAAACAAGCTTTCGCAGTGTATTATTAATCAGGTAATTGCATAGTGATATTAATAAAAATGTCACCTTTCCCAGTTTAAGCTGTTTAACAAATGTTGTCCTCTGGCTTCCAAGAACTTCGCCATTTACTGAGGTCCCTTGTTGAAGCTGAGTGGAAATGAGACAAAATAAAAACAATAAAAACATTTGTAGGTTTTTCACAAGAGTTGCCTCGCTTTGATTCTATTCTTCTTTCTTAAGTTGACTACCAGAAGTAGGCAAGACAGATACTTCAGTGTACCTTGGTGCAGTTTTCACAATCCACTTCTTTGATGGTTTCCGAAGAAATAAAATGTTGAAGACACTGATCTAGAGAGACAGGTCGACCCTGAGGACACAGGCAGATCAAATGATGACAAACAGAACACCAAAAATCTGTATTGAGTTGTAATACCATTATAACTTTTAGTATTAACGTGTTCCTAAAATCTTTCTTACCCACTGAGGTAAAGGGATGGACAGGGAAAGGCTCTCAAATGAGTCGTACCGCACCGGACTCTAACCAAAAGCAAAGGAGAGGAATAAATCAACAACAAAAAAGTACAACAACCGTTTCCTGTCCGAAAAAACTGAACACCTACTTGTTGTTCGCAGCGCTTGCATGACATATTGCTTGTTAAACAACCATGAAAAGGATTCTGAGACTTCCAAGGACTTGGTATCGGATGCAGAGGGGCTGAAAAAGGAAAAAGGAATACAGATGAAATAAGTTCCAGTTTGATATTCACATTTACATCATTTCATGTTTCTTTACCTCGACTTCTGCAGGTCATAGTTTTCTCATCTTGATCAGGAATGCTCTGGTATTAAACAAACACATACACTGATTAACCAGATTGTTATTTGTGACACTCTTAAACACTGCTGCAGTTCACATACTAACATTTCACTTTTATAAGGGTGTAGGAGGCAGAATTTGGTTTGAAATGGTGCTTCCCTCCATACAACCGATGTTCCAAAACATATACCTTCCTAAACAATTGAGAAAATAAGTAATTAAACAAAAAAGGAGATCAAATAAACTGGGCTGTAAATAGGCATTTTGCCACCATCAGTGTTAATGACCAAAATCAATATTCTGCTAACCCTCACCCATCACCCATTAGGAATCCAAATGTAATGTCTTAAGGGTCACATTTCCTTTGGAGTTTTACTGGCGCTGTCTGGTCTACAAAATCCCTTTTTTGTTTCATAAAACTGATCGATTGCCTTGAACTGATAATGTGTTAGCTTTGGCATGGTGACTTTATTTCATGTTTTTTTATTTATTTGTGTTCTCTTTGGCACATTAAAAATAGATTTTTTAATTCAACAACGTTACAATTTTTTATAACCTCCACAGCCACTAGATGGCGCTCTGAGGCCCACTGGCTGAGAGCATAGACTGTTTATATCAGTCTATGGCAGTGTTTCTCAAACTTTTTCATACCAAGGACCACTTAACCAATAAAAAAACACTCGAGGACCACCTAACTCCACAAATATCCAAAAACACATCGTTTTTTACAAATCGCCTGAAAATGGTACAAACAAGTGGCAACATGTGTGATGAAGGTGTTTATCTGGGCTATTTCATGCAATCGAAAATGAAACTTAAGCTCGCTCCATTGCGGAGATATTCCCGCGAGAGTGCGAAAAACTTTTATTTATTTCAAATGTGAAATGTTACCAATATACTCACGGACCACCAGTGGTCCGCGGACCACACTTTGAGAAGCACTGGTCTATAGTTATACAGTATATTAGGTTCAGAACAGCTTCTGCAGAGCATGTGAGTGCTGTTTTAAGATAATGAGAGTGTGGGCATGAAAACTTGCCTCGAGGGACTGCATGTCAAACAAGGGAACGATTTTCGGCTGCCGATCCCGCTCCTCATCCAGAGAAGACGTAAGAACATGAAAGAGCTCATGTGCATCCTGAGAGGGGACAAACAAAAAGACAGAAAACGGTTAATACATGAAACAATGCACCAAACATCATGTATGAAAATATCAAAGGAAACACCACCTAAAAACATTATTGACTAACCTGCTCTTCAAAGGAACTGATGTGCCAGCGGTACAGTCGGAGAACATCCAGGAGGCACCCGGCATCGAGAATATCTTCCTCCCCCGGCTCGTCTCTGGACAGATCTGTCAGAGCAGTCACCATCACCATCCTCATTAGAAATATGAATGAATACCGCATGTTCACTACTCTGGTGACTTGTCTAACAGAAAAAACTATACAATGACTTTAATATTATGATTCTTACTTGCTAATGTTTATCTCTTTACTGGCTTGAATGTCTTTGCTTAGCTAGAGAATTGTCCTTTGTAAAGAAGATTCTTACAATGTTATTTGTTACACTCTATGTAACAGTTTGACCTATAGCTTCCTGATACTGCCTCCCTTACTGCTAGCATGCTCCTTTCATTATCACCAAGCTTTGAATTGAATTGATTTATTTAAAACAAGGGACAGTGTACATTAATCAACATATTAAAAACATGTAAAAGTACTCGAATTAGCCAAAAGGCTAGTTCTCATCGATAGTCCCTTTGCCAGATGGTGATAGACATCCTTAAAGCAATAATAAAAATACCACAACATTGTTATACCATTGTACATATTTACAATAGATGACATCACTGAATACAGATAATAGTCATGATAATAAATAAAACATTTACAATACGCACTCATACACACACCTACACCCACACATCAGTGCTGACACTGTTGGTTTTCAATGAGCCACTTGACCCCCCCTTTCTTCTTTCTCTGTGTCTAAACGCAAACTCTATTCTGCGTCTTTCACTCTGCAGACAGTTTGCTTTCTGACTGAACTATCATATAAAATATGACAAAGACAGCTGAATGGTTGGATTCTTTGTCCACATTGGATAAATACCACACTTGTTAAACCATAGGATGGTTTTACATACCATTGAGTAGCTGGAGCAGTGTCGTGGACAGCTGATTGTCTTTGCAGGACTGGGTTGGAGGCAATCCTATTACCGTCTCCAGCCACCGGATGAAAGACGGACATGCTGCCAAACCCTGAAGCAAAGAGTTCAGGAAGCAGGTGTTGCCTAAGTTCAACAAACCAGGAACCATGCCTGAGGGAAAACACAGGTTGTTGTAAGTTCCTGATCTTCAACCGGTTCTCTGGATATAATCTGTGTATGACACGTTCCCTCTGACTCTTACCTCTCTTTCTCTTCCTTCTATCTGTAATTGGGCCCCACATCACATAGACTCCAGCTGCAACCGCAGCAGCTACCCCCCCGATGACACCCCAGTTCTTTATCATTTTGTTTCTGAAAAGAAAACATTATGTTAATGAAGCACAATAGATTATTTTTGAATGAAGGGGATATACACAACAGGTGATAACAATAAGTAAGGCGTGATGGTGGCAGGTAAATATACACTTTCATACATCACTGTTCTCGATTACGATGCAATGACACCGATGTGTTTTTCCAGTGCCCAACACCTGCATCTCCAAAACGATCATACATTTATGCCAACTGTCTAAAACTGTATCCACAAAAAAATTCACATTTGATCAGATTTTGTTTCAGGACTTATTCATTAAACTGTTTTAGATACAGCCGAGTATACCTAACAAACTGACAAATCAGAATATGTGTGTTGATTAAAAATAGTTCAGTTCACTAAAAAGTTAAGATAATAAAACATAAAACACCCTGATAAGCTGTCTCGCACTGCCGAATAGAGAGCACAAATCAAATAGTATTTGTGATGTAATCTTATCCATAAACGTTAACCTTTGACCGTTTCTGGGTAAAAAAAACCAATAAAACAAAAACAAACATGGAGCGAATAAAGATTAAAACAAAGTCAAATAAATCTTATTTAAGTAAAAGCACAAAGGTATTGTCAGCTAAATGTACTTAAAGTATGAAGAGTAAAAGTCCTCATTGTGCAGAAAAATTGCCTTAACGTGTGTTTACAATTAGATTCATATGACATTGCTAGATAATATTGTTGCATCAAGTAGCATTTTACTGTTGTAGACAAACAAAGTTCTGACTTTTTGTAATATATTTGACTCTTTTGTGATATAAGAGGTAGCCCCTAGTTTAATTTGAGATGCATTTTGTTAAAGGTAGCTAAAAGCTGTTAAATAAAAGTAGCAAAGTAAAGTGTACTTGTAATGTACTCCACTACATTTATTTAATCAAATCAAGTTTTATTTATATAGCACATTTATAAACGATTTTTGGTCGAGCCAAAGTGCTGTACATATAATAAAAATAGCCTACAGTAGAGACACTTTACAGCAAATACAACAGCACAGATTGTTCAGAATATCAGTATGAGAAAAACGACACCCTCTGTCCTTAGACCCTCACATCGTACAAGGAAACACTTCCAGAGAAAACCCACAGTTTAAGGGGAAAAATGGGAGAAACCTCAGATACCTAACTAATACCTTTAGTTACTTTGCCGATTTGGATAAATAATTTGAAATATAATCAACACTTAAATAAGACTTTAGTTTCACCTGAATTAAAACTAGCTGCACCTTTACCAGCTTTGATAACAATTTAATGCATCAATATTTATAATAAAAAAATATCATATATATCATTCTGAAATGGACCAATTTGCATAATAAGTACTACAACATGTTGATGACAATAGTTGTGTACTTTTACTTGAGTCAAATGTTGAATACAGGACTTTTACTTTCAACAGAGTATTAATTTCCTACACTCTGGTACTTCTACTTTTACTCAAGTACAATATCCGAGTACGTCTTCCACTTCAGTTTATTCACACCTCTAAGTAGAGTACTTGAGTAAATGTATTGTTTACTTTACACTTCTGCGTGTATAACTACCACTACGAAGCAGCTAACACCACCATTAGCATGCAGCTGCAGCAGAGCTAGCTTTAGGCTAACTTACCGACAACATCGAGGTTAATAGTGTGCCCTCGGCTGCTCTGTTGCCTCCTTTGATACAGACCCAAAGCTACTATATAGAAATATAAGTGACACTTCTCATTGCTGTGTTTCTCGTTAGCAGGTTTAGCAACTTAACCCGGACTCAGTGGTGCGCATGTTTCACTTTAGGTCGAACGCGTCATGACCTGCTCAACTCCTGACCCCTTGCACTATAAATAATCTGTATGTGATGTTTCTGCCAGAGGAGAGCTTTTACCTGACGATTTGTCCAGAGCCAAGAAACTCCTTCACAAGCTTATCAGAGCTTTCAGGTCTGCACCACAACATCCTGCTGCTTTCATGGCGGAACTCCAGTTTGTGGGGCCATGTCTGGTTTCAGGACGGACATAATGGGAGAGAGCACCGATGTGTTCACAGTTAACAGTCCGACCAGCAAAATGCGTGTTGCGCTCATTAACGGAATCATTAGTAACTCACCGCTGAAGAAGCGTACCGAGATGCTGAGGTGGATTGTTTCATGACACGGTTTATTCTTTAGATTTACTCTCTCTCTCAAGGAAGGGCTGGCAATATATTTCTGAAGTTGTTATGAGTCTTAATATTGTTCGAAATGTTTGAAAATAAACAACAACAGAAGTTCATAACAACATCCGGGGAATATACTTATTTTTAATTATGTAATTATTTATTTATTTTTAAATCACGGTTGCTTAGATACCACCATAATTCCACATTCTGCCTTCACATTAATGTTTCTTTGCTTTTTTGTCTAGCCTGTTGGTATTTTATTTGTTTTCTCCTCTGTATCATTTGCTTTATCTCTGGGATCTTTACTTTGATCTATTTCATTTTTATTTTTATTTTATTGTAATTTGTGTTCCAATTGTTTTAATGCAATTAAAATGCGTGTATCAAGCACTATGAATTATCTTTGTTTTAATGCACTTTCCGAAAAACAAAACATGTACAAGGTCTATACACTTCAGTTATTGTCTAGTACCGAGTAGGTTTTACATTACAAGAAACATACAATAGACATACTAAACAATAAATAATGGGAAAGTACAAGGTCCAGAACAGGAGGAGCAATATATGAATGGTAGATGTGGAAAAGTAAACAATACATGTATTTATAGCCATAATAAAATAAGGCTATGACAAAAAGTAGGAGTCAGAATCAAGTTAGCCAGGTACGTTTACATATACAAGGAATTTTCTTTGCGTTTTTAGATTATTTTTTACATTTAAATTTGGTCTAAATATTTGTCTTTATTCATTTGTAATGTTACTGTGTTTTTTAAAAATATATTTACTTGTTATAATCGTTATATTTTTGATCTTTTAAACCGTATTTTGTTATGTCGTTCATATTTACACCACCAAAAACCAAAGCAAATTCCTTGTATTTGTAAACTGGCCAAAAATGTGATTCTGACATTTTAGGCACATTTTATTATGGCTTTTTATTTATTTACTTTATGTATTTTTTGTATGACGCTACTTTATACGTCTACCCCTGATGTGTACTTCTTTATATAAAAAATATATGATGTTAATATATGTTCTTGAATAAATACATAAGAAAGTGTCAGATCCCCCTGGGCTCATCATCCTATCCACTCCCCCCTTCCTGTGTCTCGCGGTGAGTCGCGCAAGGCGGCCTCCCATTGGCTGAGGCGGGCTCGCGGAGCAGGTAGCTCTCCTCGGTGCTGAAATCATTCGCAGCTCGTCGTGATAATGTAAACGGCGATGAGCCCGTCAGCCAGTAAACATCAAAATGGACGATGATCTGTTCCAACTGAGACAGCTGCCGTGAGTAATACTTCCATCTGAAAAACATTTGTGCCTTTGTTTGTTTTTTATTCACTCCATTTCCCACCGTGACAGCATGTTTAGCGGACGCGCCGCCCTCTGACAGCCTCGCGTCGTCTGATTAGCTCTCTGGACCACAAATAGCCTCACATTCCTTAAAAGCAGCAGTCATTCATTTACAGTATTTGTGCAGTTATAATAAAAATTCATAACAAATAAATTAAAACAACTTAACATGTTCACATGCAGCTAGCAGTTTGTTTCGCATTTCGCTTAAGAAGACTATTTTGTTTTTGTTTATTAATACTAAGCAGTTTTGCTGTGATTTCTAAGCTGAGTTTTTGGTGTGAACTTAATTAATTAAGTAATTGTGTTTACTGTCATGACTCAGTGCCTTATGTGATTTATTTCTCTGCTGGAGCCTTTTACATTTAGCTAAAGGCTCGCCGTCATGAGGGACATTTCACTAGACGTGCAGTCAAATAACGATGTCTTTCCACAAAAATAACACAACATAATTAAAATACGAATCGTTTAATGTACTTGTTTGTTAATCAAACAGTTACAATTATGGATTTGGAATAAGCACAACAAAAGAAAGAAAATATATATTTCCAGGGAGTTGGATATCACTTGTATTTCATCATAAAGAACTTGAAAATGAAAAGTATAGTGTTTTACAGTACAAGACACACATTTCTGGACATCTCACAAACTCATCTGCATCAGTGACTCCCCATTTCCAGTAGTCTATGTCATGTAATTACAGTGATTAGGACCTCACTGCCACTATCACAGTTCTAGTATAGTGTTTCATCCTTAATGTACCATCATTATCTGCATGCTGAAGAAGATTATAGCTGTAAACAGCATGCACATCTCAGTGCTGAGCAGAAAAGTGCACAGAGCTCTCAGTTGGCCTGACATGGTTCCCCAATAGGATGGTATTACCACCCATTCACAACATCACAGCCAGAAAAACCTCATATCACCTAGGCAACAGCCTCATCTGCACTCAGCTTTGCCCTGGCACTCGACTTCTGAAACTCCCCTGATCAGGCATACTGTATTGTAGAGATGTTAAATATCCTACGCTTTTACTTTCTTTTTGTAGTGTTGTCCGCTTCCGTCGTACAGGTGAGAGCATACGCTCAGAGGATGATGGAGAGAACAGAGAACAGGTTATCAGGATCGCCGAGCAGACTGATCTGGAGTCTGTGGCTCTTACAGACGGAGCTCCGGTTCCTCGGGAGTTTGCCAATCCGACTGATGGTACAGTATGACTTCAATATACGATACAAGTTTGCACATACATACACAGACAACATACTGACACTGACGCCCTTTTGCACAAACCCCATGGCCGACATTTAAACTATATATTACAATTGTTTGTTGAAAAGCTGAATGGAAATGGGTAGGAATGACTGTTTGTATAGGTTTAGCCTTCTTGTAGGAACCCTACATTTCCTACCATAAGGTAAGAGCTGGAAGTCTGGATGGAGGATGTGGGTCGGATCAGATGTCATTTTTCTTGCCTGTACAAACTCATACTCACCTTCCCAAAGGAACGTGATTTAAGACAAGAAATTACTTTTTAGATCTGTTTCCAATGTTACATGAACACCATCACCAGAAGGATGCAGAGAATACAAATTGTTTGATCATTCAGACGTGTGATGTCACAGACCTAACGATGTTTCCAAGATACCACATTATTACATATCATCGTCCAATGCGCTCACACTCAGGTGTACAGCTTCAGGTTCTTACACAGGAAAACGTTTATGCTGATTTCTTGAATACCGCTTTAAATACTTCTCCATTCCCCCAGACACATTCATGGTGGAGGATGCCGTCGAGGCCATCGGCTTTGGGACCTTTCAATGGAAGCTCTCCATCCTCACTGGTCTGGCCTGGGTAAGAGCCGCTCTTTGAAAATACACGGTCACTTGCTGTGTGTGTATGTTAATACATCTTATGTGTCTCTGTGTTGTCTGCTGTTTGCTCAGATGGCCGATGCCATGGAGATGATGATCCTCTGCATCTTAGCCCCTCAGCTCCACTGTGAATGGAAGCTGTCCAGCCTCCAGGTGGCACTTCTTACATCGGTAATGGCTCTAATGTTTGTAAAGTGCTCTTGCTTGCGATGCTATGACTGTCCTGATAGTTATTGGCTAAGTGCTTAGGGATTGCTTAAGTGCTTGTATTGAACAGTGACAACCTTGTGAAAAAGTATGAAGTGTGATGTCATTAGATGACATGCACAATTATGATTTGAATGACCATCAAAAGCATATTCACTTTTCTAAGTATTACATTGAGCAAACAGGGAAGTTACAGTAGATTTTACTAAGGGTATTGCATAAATAATCCTTTAATGGTGCACATTTTGAAATGACCTCATCAATTGAGATGTATTATACAACTTTCATAAGATAATCAAGCAAGAAACACATGAAATGACTTGTTGTTGCTCACACCAGAACATAAAAAGCTACAGTACTGCCTGACAGGATGTGCATTATATCAACTATGTGTAGTGGAATTATAGTCAATGCACGTTTATGAAACTGCAGTCCCATTAACCTTATCCTCTTTCACCCTGATGCAGGCAGTGTTTATTGGGATGATGCTCAGCTCCTCTCTTTGGGGAAACATATCTGACAAATACGGCAGAAAAACAGTAAGTTCTCATTACATCTTTGACGGAGATTCATTTATTTCTGTTTCCTGTGAGACAAACTTCATTTAGTTCATAGGAAGTTTATCATTTGGGTTCTCTGAATCAAAGAAAGTGATCATACACACTGACTGCCGAATTTATTCAGCAGCTTGTTATGTTTTGATTGTATGCACACACAGGGTCTGACGCTGAGTGTGCTGTGGACCATGTTCTATGGCGTACTGAGTGCATTTGCACCAGTCTATGGCTGGATCCTCGTCCTCCGTGCACTCGTGGGCTTTGGCATCGGAGGAGCCCCACAGTCGTTAGTAACCCTCATTCATCTCCCTAAACATATTGCTGAATTATAAATGATGTGAGTTTAGGTTGACTGTGAAATCTCCCTCCTTATAAGGGTGACACTGTATGCTGAGTTTCTGCCAATGAGGTCCAGAGCCACATGCATCTTGCTGATTGAGGTAAGAGGACTATTGAGGACTAAACTTAATCAATCAATCAATCAATGTTTATTTATATAGCCCAATATCACAAATGTTACATTTGTCTCAGTGGACTTTACAGTTTGTACAGAATGACAGTACGACACCCTCTGTCCTTAGACCCTCACATCGTACAAGGAAAAACTTCCGGAGAAAACCCACAGTTTAAAGGGAAAAATGGGAGAAACCTCAGGGAGAGCAACAGAGGAGGGATCCCTCTCCCAGGACGGACAGACGTGCAATAGATGCCGTGTGTAAATCGAAAAGATAATACATTTACAACATAGGTAGTCCAAATATTTGGAAATGCATGTGTGTATAATAGGAAGATGAATCCACGAGGATATCCATCCAGGACCTATGATCCAGGACCACAGCCACGACTCAAGATCCAGGGCTCGCGATGCAGGACACAGGACCGCAGGATCATCCATGACTCCGGATCCCGGCGTATATAGACACCAAAAAGAAAGAAATTTGGGGAAGCTGGGTTAATCAGAACATGAGAGTACACAGGTATAGACAGAGAGAAGGAAGAAGTAAGATGTCCCCTGACAAACTAAGCCTATATCAGCAAAACTAGGGGCTGAATCTAATCAGCCCTAACTATAAGCTTTATCAAAAAGGAAGGTCTTAAGCGCACTCTTAAAAACGGATAGGGTGTCTGCCGCCCGAACACAAACTGGAAGCTGATTCCACAAATGTGGAGCTTGATAAGAAAAGGCTCTGGCTCCCAATTAAGCAACTGTCTGTTAAGGAATCCAGTCTATGTAGCTATATGGATCTATCTATGTATCTATCTGTATCTATGTATCTATGTATCTATGTATCTATCTATGTATCTATGTATCTATCTATCTATCTATCTATCTATCCATCATCCGACTAGCCATATGTTAATGGTACATAAAGGACAAAATGTTCAACCATTACTTCACAGCACTGGAGGGGTTTTATATCATTCTGACTGTGCCTTGCAGATATTTTGGGCCCTGGGCACTGTGTTTGAGGTGCTCTTAGCCATCCTGGTGATGCCCACTCTGGGCTGGCGTTGGCTGCTCGGACTTTCGACCCTTCCTCTCTTCCTCTTTTCCATCTTGTGTTGTGTGAGTATGCTGTTATCTTGTCCTGAGACATTCTGCAATATGTAAGATCAACAAGTTACAGCCTTATTAACTGACATGTCTGCTTATCGGTGTTGTGTGATCAGTGGCTACCTGAGAGTGCTCGATACGACATGTTGACGGGGAATCATGAAAAAGCTCTGTCCACATTGAAGCGCATCGCTGCCGAGAACGGAGTACCGATGCCCCTGGGGAAACTCATCGCTGCAAGACAGGTGAAAGCCGGTTTCTGCAGAACATTTATCTGGACAATATTCATGTATGCTTACTATTATATTCTGTTCTTTTAATTAGGAGGAACGTGGAAAGATTCAAGACCTTTTTTCACCACACTTTCGCTGGACCACAATTCTGCTGTGGTTCATTTGGTAAATAGAGTGAATGAAGATGCCACCCACTCATAAGTCATTACTCAAAGATTTTCTTTCCTTTCTTCCTCTGCGAAACCTTAATGTTCTCCAATTGCACAGATATATCAGTGTGACATATATACCACCTTCATCCCGTGTCTCTGTCTCCTTAGGTTTGCGAATGCCTTTTCTTACTACGGGCTGGTGCTGCTCACTACAGAGCTGTTTCAGGAGGGAGGTGCATGCGGAAGTGAGTCATTGCTTCAACACACGCTCTCACACACACACACATACATACACACACACACACACACACACACACACACACACACACACACACACACACACACACACACACACACACACACACACACACACAAGAACCCACACATATATTTTAATTTGCTACCTTGATCATAGAGACTTAGCAATTCAGTGACTAGTGTTGAACATCTTCCCCCAGGAGATAAATGTATACGTTTGTATTAACATAAATTAAACACTACCTCATGTCTGGCATAAACAAGTAGATAATTATATAAATATTTCTAAAATAATTTGTGAAAATGTAATAAACAATGTAATGAGAAAGAATGTAATATTTACAACAATATGATACAAAAATAATTTAAACTCTTTAATTAAATATCAATTGTAAATTATTATTATTATTATTATCATTATTAATTAATTCTTTATTTTCATTTGACTTTAGGGCGTTTCATTAACTATGTTTCTCTAATATTCTGAGAACGCATGTTTTTTTATTGTTGGCTCAGGTGTAACGGATAACATTAAAGATGGCTGACACGAAATGGAACAGAACCATTGTTGATTTTAGTAGTTACAATGGTGCTTTACTAATATTCCAAAATGTCTGCCATAGTGAAAGTCTACACATAGTACAGTATGTTCTTTTTGCAAAGTCACAGATTGAGACAGTGCTGGGGGTGTACTATATTATTTTCTGTTGTTTTATACCTCCATCTAGTGACCAAACGTAACAAGAGGGAGCTCGGATGCAACTTGGAGTGTAAATATCTGAACTCTGACGACTACAAAGACCTGTTGTGGACGACCTTATCTGAATTCCCAGGTAAACATCAGTTTATTATTCGTGTCTTCACAAAGTTCATTATAATTTTTATATTGTCAAAATATTTTTTGTTAATTATGGTGGCATGTTTTAGATTTAAATCTATTAAATAATCATAAATATCATCTACACAAATAACTATACAGTGTATTGTATGTATACTGGATGATTATCTAGTAAATGATGTAGTTGCTGCACCTATAGTTACATGACATCTTGCTATTATAAAGATCATCATTTTAATGTAGTTATTACACCTGTAACTAAATGACTTCAGGGGATTTCAGGGACTTAGTAAATGATCATATCAAAATAATGTTAATAGAGCTTATTTTAAAGAGGACACTTTTGCAAGGTGTTAATAATGTAGGTTTGCCAGAGGCCCTGGCAGCTCCCTGACAAAACTACTGACTTATCTAGATCAAAAGGAGCACTCATTAACATTTTAAGTTTCTCCTCTGTTACTCCTGCAATGACATTTCAAAATGTCATAGTAATGGGTAACAGCATAATCGCTGTAATTACTGCACTGTAAAATATGCATAGCATATTATATTTTTCACACCTGACATCTTGCAATGTCCCACAGGACTTCTAGTGACACTGTGGGCTATCGATCGATTAGGAAGGAGGAAGACCATGGCGTTGTGTTTCTTCATCTTCTCTATGTGCATCATTCCACTCTATGGCTGTGTTGGAAGGTAAGCGGGATACTGAGGAGAATGTTAAACGAAAACATTGTGGATCCACCATTTATTCAGCATTACTGGTTCCTGTGTTGCAGAACATCCATGACAGTTTTGATATTCATCGCCAGAGCTTTCATCGCAGGAGGATTTCAAGCTGCGTATGTGTACACTCCAGAGGTAAGATATCTCACCAGAGTGCAGTTTCTTTAGCTAGCATTGTGCAAAATGAAAACATTTACTAATGGAGCTCAGATCAAATCAATAACGGGGTCGATGGAGCATCAGGGCAGCCTAATTAGTCTTTTCTGAAACTCTGCAGGTGTACCCAACAGCGACCAGGGCTTTAGGTCTGGGAATGAGCAGTGGGATGGCCAGAGTCGGTGCCCTCATTACACCTTTTGTTGCACAGGTACCAGTATCTTTTTACCTTATTTAAACACATCACAACACATGAAAGTTGCTCATGTCCCTGGGCTTCATCCTTCAGGTAATGTTGGAGTCTTCAGTGCACCTGGCTCTGTCCGTGTACTGCTGCTGCTGCCTGCTCGCCGCCATTGCCTCCTGTGCACTGCCAATAGAGACCACAGGCCGCGGCTTACAGGAGTCCACTCACCACGAGTGGGGCCAGGAGATGGTGGGCCAGGAGATGGTGGGCCAGGAGATGGTGGGCCGGGAGATGGTCGGCCGGGCCCCCTCCCAAAGCTCAGGGGAACACCCTCCTTCAAGCTCAGGCTCCCAAGGATGAGGACTTGTTTGCTGGAGCACAACTGGGAGAGGCAAGCACAGTCAGGAAAAGAGGCGAGGAGAGGCCAAAAAGCTCAACCAGCTTTCGGTGTCCATCTCCAGTCCCATGTTATGACTCTTCAGTTTAGGCACTACGGTGGCTTCAAAGGGCCAGGCAGCACAAGGAAATATGTTTTATTATATAGTCTTCAACTACCATTGCTGTCTCAATGTTGCCACTGAATAACCGCACAAGGGGCTACTGGATGGAACAAATGACCTACACCAGGGCAAGATTGAGAAAAATAAAAGGTGGACAACATGTGAACAATGCAAGAGAGAATTCAAATACTTTACATAAAGTATTGGTTTTCTAATTCAGGTGAATAAAGGAAAAAAAAGTGATAGCTTCCATCAACCATCTTCTTTTGAAAGAGCCTTGAAGAATATCTATTTGAGTTTGAGAGACCTTCTCTTAACCTTATTTTAGCATACCAGGCACAGGTGCATAGATAAAAGAGACCAACATATTGTGAACAAAATTGTCTGTTAAAAAACACAAGCTTTATAAAATGTACATTACTGAAGTGAGGTACACTCCTACATCATTAAGTCAACAGACAATACGATAAGGTCTGGGGAACCTTAAAGGTGGGGTAGGTAAGTTTCAGAAACCGGCTCGAGTGCACTAAAATGTGAAAGTACACAGCCGAAAAGAATCCGCCCCTTCCTTCAGACTTCCTTACAGAGCACCTCCTCCAACACACATGAACGCGCAATGCACGCCCAATGACGGCACGCCCAATGAGGGCACGAGATACATTTGTGCGTGCACGAGATGGAAGGCTGACAGACACGGTGGCAATCCAATCCGTTTAGCCGGCCCGGCTAAACGGATTGGTTGTACTTTTTACAGTATTACGGCTTCCACAGATGACATTTTTGTATGTATTTTTTGTCAAAGCACTTCAGATATTCATTGCTATCGGATGTTAAGAGCGTTCCATGGAATATAACAACAAGTGTATCTCGAGCCGGTTTCTCAAACTTACCTACCCCACCTTTAATTCAAAAATAAATTGTGTAAAGGCAGTGAAAGGACACACAGTAAGTCACTGTGTTAAACCTTGTGCTAAATATGTTCTTTATTTTGCGTCAGTATTATTTCACATTTTAACATGGATGATGTTTGTTGTTAGCTGAAGAAACAAGTATCATTATGAGGCCATATTAGAATCAACAACCTAATAAATCTGCCAAAGCCTTCACCATAGCATATTTACATCATATAGTGAACGATATTTCATAAATATAACACAACTGGAACAAGTCCACAGATCCTGGCCTGCATCTGAAGACAATTGTAAGTTAATGTTGAAGTAAATCTAAAAAGTATTTTCATCGCTCAATCAAATGCCATGAACATGAATATATGGTGTCCTGATCTATAAATGCAGCGTCTCTTGCTCTACTCGAGTCGAGGCTTTGCACACATAGACCTACACGTGTATGTATGTACACATCCATTAACAGGATGTTACATTCTGTCTTTCTGTAAATAATGTATATGTATCAATACCTGTTTTAGTTGTTGTCTTTGCTTTTGTTTGTAACAAAGGTGATGTGGAGACTGACTTGTCAGAGTGACACACTGTGCAAAGATTTGTGTAAAAAAAAGTTACAGGAACTAGTACAGGCCCAGCCAGCTGACTCTTTACCTGTTGGAGATATAGTGCTGTATTAAGTGTCTGTGTGCACAGATTCTTGTCGATGCACTGGATGTAAATGTGTATGATACTATAGTAAATAATCTTTCAAAAAGAGCAGTGTATTCATGTTGTTATTTATTAATAAAAAGTGATTTTATCAGTTAGACATTTTTCTACATTACATTTAATGAGAACATAGAATTTATTTTTACACAATATACTTCTTTAAATGAACATATCCTTCTATGGATTTATCTATGATTAGATGTGAATCATTTAATTGGTGTCTACTCTTTAGAGTTACATACAAGTTACACAAATGAGTTGTATTTATGTCATGTAAGTACCCCAAAGGTATGGAAATTGAAAATCTGTTTGCTAAAATGCTGGTTATAGAAAATAACAGTTTTTGGATTATGAGGCACAAGGAACTGACATTAAAATTGGAAGTGCACCTCAATCAATCAATGAATGAATCAATCAATCAATCAAGCACCTGCACAGAAATTTACAAGCGAGCTTTTGGACCTTTCCCTTTTTGTTCCACAATCTGACCGAAGAGCCTTGCTGCCTCTTGGGCGCAGCCCCGGTGAATGGTGAGTCCAAAACCTCCATGTCCGTAGTTGTGTATCACCTGAAAGAGAGGCACGATATTTTAGAAGTTGGATGAACAAAAATTAATATTAAAAGTAATGTAAATCTTTTCAAAATACAACTGAGCTGTTTACCTCTATTGCAGCTGCACCGGACTGTATGGTCTCCCTCTCCAATCGGACTTTGCTGCGAACAGGCCTGAGGCCGGCCCAGTCCTGCACTATCCTGGCATGCTGAGGTAAGTAACAACAACAACACATAATCGCAAAAAACGAATTGTCCATTGTCACTATCAAGTGTTCTAAATATATCAAATGTTAAATACTTTACCACTACTGAAGACTTACTGTTAATCATTTATTACAGTTGACACAGAAAGCCTTTTTATGGGCTTTAGACAAACAACATTTTGACATCACCTTACCTTGAGACTTGGCTCGAGCTGACAAGCGTTTTCCCAGATGTTCTTATGGTCCGTAGAATTGTTCTTTTCACTCCAGTTCCCTAACTGGAGAATCCCACCGACTGTCACGAGTCGACTCCTGCGGACACATAGATGCAACTGTCTTTAATATACAAAAACACTGTAATCTTTTATGATCTGACAGCAAGTACACAACACAGGATAAGCCCTGCAAACGTTTGCCTGCTGCATGCATTTTCTGTCTGAAACTGTAGTTCCACATTACTATCACTCAAACACTAATGGAGAGGCTTGTTCCTACAGTTCAGTGCTAATGAGTGTTTTGTGTCACCCTGGAATGATGTATGGTGAATTGTAGATTCCTTTTTTTAAATTGTGGGTGAGAATCCAATGCTTCAGCCACGGCGCTTCGACCTGAAAAACAAAGATATAATATCAAGGTTCAACCACAACTTCAATGTTGCTTTTATAGCTGGTTATAGAGACAGACATTTCAACCCGTCGGGCCTCACCTTCACGATCTGCCCCCGCCCGGGTTTGAGCTCAGGGTCCGGCTGGAGATCTCCTGATCTCATCCCACTGCAGTTTATTATCACGTCTGCCCCAGACTCTGCCAGCTTAATGAAAAGAACAGAGCATAAAGCATGAAAAAGAGAAGTGTTAACATACTCACAGTATTTCTGTAAGAAGTGAAACAATATTCGGGCTGTTACAATATTACAGACTCAGTATAAAAAAGTACTATACATGAAACAGAAAATCAAACAGAAAATGTATGTATCATTAATATTGAAAGCTTCCACTAACCTCCTTAAAGGACTCTATTTTTCTTTGGTAAAATGTCACTCCCCTTTTTTGCAACCTAAGAATAACAGAAACTAGATGTTAATTAAGAACAGCCGAAAGAAAATACTTTTGGACTCCTGATCAACTGAAAATAATCAAGATTAGAACCAGCTATTCTGGATAATGATATTACTAATTTACAATTCATTACACAGTATAAAAGTAAATGTGTGTTGAGCACAATTCAGTGTCAGGTCTTACATTTTTTTTAAATGACCATGTCATTGAAACTCAGCAGCTGTGTAAACTTTAGTTAGTGATCACTGACAGATCACTACTTTTTACTTTGCATTGTGTAATTATTTGTTGTTTAGGATATACAATTAACCACTACAAATGATTAACACAGAATTTAGAAAACAATAAACCAAGAAAATGACAGAACAGCTAAACTGAGACCATGTGTTGAACATTTAAGAGTAGATAAGATTAGATTCAGCCATGGGGGGATGTTACAAACTAAATGTAATATAACATATGTAACAAGCTATAAGACGCTTCCCTTCTTCTTTTTGATTACGTAAGAAATGTAGCTGTAAGCAAGTGCTTTACTGACTTCAACTCAAGACTTTAAGTAAAGTTCTGTTCAAATACAATACTGATACAACAAGGAAAATAACTTATTTCAAGAGATTAAAAACAAATCACTCACCAATCCATCAGCCAAGGTAAGTATGTTTTACCTTCCAGCATGAGAGCAGTGTTGAACCACCCATGACTGCACATGTTAGAAGAGACATTGTAAAAAATATGCTTTTCTTTCATAGGGAACCATGCAATATATTGTTATATAAGATCGAAGCAAATAGATCATCAATGATGCGCCTGGGAATATGAACTATTTAAGTTGCATGTAATAGCAAGGAACAAACTAACTATTTATTTGCGTCTCTGCTTTATGTTCTTTCAGTGTTTTGCTTGTTATGTCTGTTTCAGCAACAAAACCTACTTGTATCCGGGGAACATCTGCAGTTCTCGCTCTGTGAGCTGTCTGAAGCCTAGGACGATATCTTTAAATGAGGGATCCTGCAATCAGAAAGCAGTACAGATCACATCACTTGTGTTCTGGCTGTGTTACATTTTGTCACAATACAGACTCCCAATCAAGCCCTGTCTCTGAGTTTAAGTCTGACCCATGGTGAGGCCTCTCTGTTATTTGTGGAAAACAAAAGCAGAGAAGCTGAACAAAGCTCTACTGTTAGTGAGGCTGAATACTAATTACTGTGTTTATGGTAGCTATAGCACTGGTATGTGATTCATTTATTAACTAGTTATATGAGGTTACATTAACTATATCTCCAACTGCCTTTGCTCTTGGTTGTAAAATCCAAAACAAGGTCAAATCTTATCTTTGAGGACAGATTGACAGGCTTTTTAAAAGAACAAAGCACTACTCACTGGGGCTGGTTCAGTGCAGAGGTTGTAGCCAGATTGAAGGAATACACCCATTTGAATGGAGTCTGGCGATCTGAGACAGTTCAGCAAGTAGTCAAATGTTTCCTTATTCCATTTTCTAAATGTGAGGAAAAAGTGTATGTATACAATATTGGCAATTTTCTGCAGATACAATGGAGAATCAAACGAGAGTTAATACACTTACGTCTCCTGGACATTGCCTTCATCGTACAGGTAGGGCTGCCACAAGCCAGCAGCTCCATCGCTCGTGGTCAGAGGAGTGAAATAGTCTGCATACACCTCGATGCTCAGTGGACTGACAATGGAGTGAAACTGCTCGTAGATGCTCTGTGCTGCTGACAGGCCGATGACTCCAGCTCCAATCACTGCCACCCGCATGTCTGGATGAACATCAGACACAAAATGTTACCTCTGAAGCTTACTCGGTCCCAGGGCTCTCGACTAACTTTTTTCCCCATCCTCCCGGAACCGTCCCGAAATACAATCTAAGCCGTCCCGAAATTAATGTGGACCGTCCCGAATTTAAAATGTTAGTTTTTCTACCTTATCATTAGTTAAAATCATTCAAAGTGACCTTTAACATAAATAAAACATCATACAAATCATTAGATGATAATTCATCAACCTTTTTATTTGAGTAAATCATTCAATCACATAAACAAAGGCCAAATATATTTAAACAAACACACAAACGAGAAAATTACTCTAATATTGAATCCAATCAAGTCCCATCCAATTAACAAAAAAATCCAACTCTCTGTCCTGAAGACAGAACCCAGAGTAACCACTAACCAGGATGACAGTCTGTAACACAGTCAGGAGACCTTTACAAACGGCCCCGACCCCTCGCACACAGATGGGAGAGAGAGATCTCGTCTGGATTGGAAAGCTCGAAAATACATCATAGACGCATTTTGTAGTCTTATTGCATATTAGAAACGGAGTTGGTGAAACTAAAACTGCGATATAATGTGTATGTAGCAATAATACATATGACATATTTTTTAAATGTCTCCAGTACCGATAAAAAGTCTGATAACGTTGGAGCTTAACGTTACCACTGTCTTTAATAATTCCGGCCCGGGGCCCGTTTAATACCGGGGATCGGTATTTTCTTTTCACAAATGGATATTCAAAAACAAAAAACCACTGGATAAGGCGTTTTTCTTTATCATGGTCAACAATGGATTTACTAAACTTAAAAAACGGGATGATTTTCATTTTCTACTTCTCAAAACAAAAAATAAAATCACTAGAGAACAGAAACAAAAAAAAAAACGTTTTTCAATGGAGGCCACTTTTGGAGCGAGAGTTAGAGGAAGAGGTAAATGCAGGGCCGCCCCTCCCTACAGGCCAATCACGCAGGCTGCATGGGGCCCCGCCTTGCGCAGGGGGCCCCGCCCAGAGGGCCTCAGCTGCTGTGCGCAGTTCTCCGCTCAGTTCTATTTTAAGAAATATCAGTTTTTGAGCATGTCATAAGCATGTTTTGTCTTGACTATATTACAACTATATTATAATAAAATAATATAGTATTTATATTATTGAATTGATTATGATTATTATTATTAGTAGAAGTAGTTTATTTGCATTCATTATATTTGAATCTTTTTGAGGCTAGTATTTGGCAGGAAATGCAGACGTATTCACCTGTAAACGCATACTGAACGACATACATGCACATTTACCATTTACCTCACTGTATAAAAAAGTAACTGTGTTGATAATAATAATGAACAGGAATTATATTTGCAAAGTAGCCTACTTTGTTTCCAAAAAAAATGTTTTCACTCCTGTCGGTTGGGGGGGGGCTCATCTCACAATGTCGCTTGGGGCCCCAAGTTGGCCAGGGACGGCCCTGGGTAAATGCAATATACTGTATTTTGTCTTCAGTACCATACAGTAACTATGTTCATGTCATCTTCACTCTCAGTAAAGTCATTGTGTCTGATACATGTTATGAGTATTGAGAATAAACCTATTTGTGTGTTTCCACATTGCATGTGTTCATTCCAACCCAGTCTCACGGCATTTCGTGTTCACCAACACGATTTTTAATCTATTGATTCATGTTCACCAACACGATTTGCCCCTTTTTTTCGTGTTGCAGAGCACGATTTTAAAAGCAATGTATTTCTACTGCCTGCAGCACGTCTTTTTCTCCGGTCGGGTAAAAACATGTTCTTACTCAATATCAAGCCACAGTTATTGCTTTTATTTGAAATCGTATAATTTCGGACTTTTGTTGCCGTCTGTGAGGAAAATAAATGGGGCTCAGAAATTCAGAATACGGAAATCTGTATTTTTAAATATTTTTTAATTCGATATTCTTTTCAAAATAACACACTGTTATTTACTCACCAATAACACACAATTATCCTTGCTTTTATTTATTGGTTTAATTCCATAATCTCGGGCTTTTTTGGCGTCCGCCAGGAACTGAATTTCAAAATAAAAATAACCGGAAACAGACGTAGGCCTATAAGGGACATTTCGAGCATCATTGCGATTGTCAACATTTCTGAGTTTAGGATGGCCGAAGACACTACACTACCCATAATCCCCAGCTATCGTTTAGGACTACAGTCCCTGTAAGGTTACGCAGAGCGTCAAACAGCTGTGTGAAATGGAACGAAACCACGCCAGACTATCCAAAACTGGAATCGAACGCCCCCCCAGAACTACACATGCTGGCTATTGTGTTTCGCAAAATGTTCTATGGGACTGAACGTTTTCGTTTTTCCCACAATTAGAAGTTGCCAGTATTAAACACATTGGTGTTATCAAATGTAAAACATATAATTAATAAATGGGTGAAAATCGCTTGTGTCCATAATGCGCAGCATTAATACCCACATGACAGCTCATTGTTACTTTGTAATTCTACTCCACTACAATTCAGAGGTTAACCTGGTATTTTTACTCCACTGCATTTATTTTAGTTACTGTGCAGATTCTGATTAATTATGTGAAATATAAACAACCCTTAAATCAGACTTTAGTTACACCTGAGTCAAATTCAGGTAAGGTGATTGTCAAGTGCCAACAATCAGGAGAGATATTTGATAGTTGGTGCTTGAGAAGACTAAACATGTATCTGCAATTGACATGAATGGAAACGAGTAATAAAGTATATTCATTACTCGTTATTCTCTACAAATAGTTAATTAAAGACTGTATATTATGGCTATTTTGCACATCCCTTTCAAGATTTTCAAAGGTGTATTGACATATCATATACACAACTACGGTGTAGTTATGCAATGAATGAAACACTTGGGTCACAGGTTCCTCAACAGTGCATTACAAGACATCTATCAATATATGTGTACCTCCACCATTAAACTGTCATATTCTGCACATTTCTTATTCTATCTACATACATAAGAGTATAATTCATATGTATAATATCAGTTAAAATAAGTGCTTCAACATAGTTAACATTGCAGGAAAGCAATATATTAGACGTTAAGTACTTTGTCAGGCTTAATATTTATCTGTAGATAGATACCCCCAAAGTTTTTTTCTTATTTAATGTTTAAATAAAGGTTAATTCGTTTTTCTGTTTTGCACCTCCTCCTATTAATATCTTTGTACATCCTGCACTAAACTGTTTTATTGTAGAGATCACTTATAGTATCTTCTTGATTTTTTATATTCTATATTTATACTTTCCCCCTATGAAAGTATGTACTCTTAATATTTTTTTAATCAAATAAAACACAATAATTCAATAACGTGCTTTAACCACTAGGCGGTGCACACAAGGTACACACAGCCATAATAACTTTGTATTATTAGTGTAGGACACTTTTGTTTTCGTACAACATCTGAAAATGTGTAGTTTTATGCATGCTTTCACATAATTTTACAGCATATTGCTATACTATTTCAGACTCAGTATTTACATTCTTACATTCAAAGATAATCAGTAATATCTTTAAAAACTACAGTCCTTTTATATCAGCTGTGCACCGTTATGGTGTAAATATAACCTATCTGTGAATTAGATCAAATGTAAAAGTCAGCCGAATTAGTGTTGATACTGCAAGGAGACGTATTGTGTGAAGAGAAATTGAAGATGTTGTTTAATTGTTGAATATATTTATGATCCACGTCAAGTATTCAGTTTCGGCGGCATTTTCTCAGTTTTTCCAAAGGTCTTCTCATCAGGGCTCTATAAATAAAGAACTACGGCAGATCTGTAATATACAATGCAGCCGAACCGTGTATTACAATGCCGTTATGTGATGACTTTCAAAGAGAAAAGCAAGAGCGCTCGGAATTAAGTATTATTTTATTCTTTTAAAATGTTTTCCGGATTTCATATCATATAAACACCAAATCCCAGCATGCATTGCGGCTAAAAACATCCAATAAACGAGCTTAAAACCATAGCTGAGGATCTTGGGTAATCGCTCGAAATGCCTACGTCTGTTTCCGGTTATTTTTATTTTGAAATTCAGTTCCTGACGGACGCCAAAAAAGCCCGAGATTATGGAATTAAACCAATAAATAAAAGCAAGGATAATTGTGTGTTATTGGTGAGTAAATAACAGTGTGTTATTTTGAAAAGAATAACAAATTAGAAGGAAAAAAAAGATTTTAAAAATACAGATTTCAGTATCCTGAGGCTCTGAGCCCCATTTATTTTCCTCACAGACGGCAACAAAAGTCCGAAATTATACGATTTCAAATAAAAGCAATAACTGTGGCTTGATATTGAGTAAGAACATGTTTTTATGAACCACACAGCTTCCGGTCTTCCTCGACCCGACCGGAGAAAAAGACGTGCTGCAGGCAGTAGAAATACATTGCTTTTAAAATCGTGCTGTGCAACACGAAAAAAAGGGGCAAATCGTGTTGGTGAACACGAAATGCCGTGAGACTGGGTTGGTTCATTCATAGACTCATAGTCCTTATTTACAGCGTGCTACAAATGAAAATGCCTAAAACGTTGACTTGAATGTCTTGTTTATTAATCAACTAATGGACAGTGATTCAATTCAGTTCATGTAAGCCTTACACACACATTCCTCTTTTGAGCGTCTAGTGATTATGGCTTGCATGTCTTTCTGTTCTAACTCAGTCAGCTGTCAGCTTAGCAGTTTAGACAAACAACAAATTCATAATGAAGACTAGTTGGACAAAATAATGCTTAACAACTGTTCCATTTACTGTGTGAACTGTTTTAGGGGTCGACTGTATGAGATATCGTTCTCCCGCTTGCTGCTGGGTGCAGGTGAAAGTAGGGCGACAGTTCTGTTCACATCCCTGACATTTGTCACAGGTAAATCTTGCAGGTATGCAACAAACATGACGTTGTCACACAGTGACAAGCTGGACACTGGATTTGCAGACACAGCACAAACCGGAAGTCAGCAAAATAAAGTTATGCAAAGATTACTTGTATTCTCTATAAACGCATATCTGCATGTGAATGCAGAAATAAACGTATCCTCGTCAGCATGGGTGCCGGAAGCAGGGGGGCCAAAGGCAGCCAAAGGTCGTCAGACTTCTGGGTTCCAGGATTGAACTTTTACAGCATTGCCATTATAGCCTCGGGTCTTTTATTTTGAAATATGTTCTTTAACTTCCGGTCCACCGGATGGCTTTTCTTCATTCTTCAATACAAAACGGAAAATTGAAAGAAGTTGTTATCCAAAACCAGACCGTTTTTTTAATTAGGTCTTCTTGTTATCCGTTTTTTGATTCAGAAAACGGCTTTGGTTTCCCGTTTTTTCCTTTTTGATTTAAGGCGAGACACCCCAGGTGAATAGGGTAATTTTTTTTAACTTAAAGGTATCAGCTAGAAATTTCTCCAGTTAATTATTTACAATAAGGCAATTGTTTTTTGTATTACAAGTTTTCTAAAATAGCATGTTTAAATATGCAAATTATCCATTATCGCATTAAATATGCACACATTTTAACACAGGAATCGAAATCTGAACTTTGGATAAAGCCAGGTTCAAAATTCTTATTTCATTTTGTAGTCATATTAGTATCTAAGGCTTTTACAGAAGGGATATTGGATATCTCTTTTTATCACTCCATAAATCAGAAAATACTGTCAACAGCCCTAAAATATCAATTTTTGCCATGTTTTTAGGTGTACAATGTTGTATAATTCAGGCTATGAATTATATATGAGCAAACCCTTCTGTAAAAGCCTTCATAATATTGATAGGAATATAACTGGAAGGTTTGGTGTATCTACGTGCTACTGAAGTTGACATTTCAAACTCAGAGTAGGAGAAAAAACTCATTTTGAGAAAACGACCTTTAAAGATTGCAGTGAGGCGCTAGCTAAACCCTCCTGTTCTTTGGATGATAGCTTGCGTATCGACGCACTCCGTGAAGGTATTTCATGTTCGGGGTCATTTGGTTTTTGTATAATCTTGCTTCGTGCAAGTGACAATTGTTGTCGTCTTCTCTGTGAAAGTTTTTTTCGCCGTTCTTTTGCCATTTTGAGATTTCAATTTCTAGCGGAAAGCTAACCAGGAAGTGTTTTAGCACACCACGTGACGCATCTGAACGAATCACGTTGTCAGAAATTGACACCAGCCAATGAGATTTTGTTTCTTGGTTTAAGACCCCTTTGTGCTTTCACGATTGGTTGCTGATACAAAGGAAATGACCATATTTGGATCTGATGAGATTGTGCAGGAGAGACACAGCTTTCCAACGATATCTCTGTTGACATGGTGCACACAGCGGTCGCCGTACTTTATGTTATGTTAGAATGCTAACTTTTGGTGAATTTAGGAGAAATCTACAGACGCAAATTCTTTCACACACAGTGACGTCACGAGTACCCACAATGCAACACGCGCCATATATATATATAAATACGCCATTTTCATGGAGGTGCAAATATCCTGGAAGTGCAAATATAAAAAGCTAGCTAATGTAGCAAGGCAGAGCGCACTAGTTTTTTTTTCTGAATTAACGACCGAAGAAATCGCTGCATGTCTTCGGATTACATCTCTGGACTTGAGGGGTGTGCTCTAGGTCGTTACCAGCGTAAACTAGAGCTGTGTGGGTTGTCGGATTGCCCTTACAGACTGCGTCGATTTTGGCTGCATCTACGTCTAATTTCTGGAAACACCAGGTGAATACCCCATTTGTCACAATAATATTAACATGCCATTGCATATATGTGGTATTTTAGAGTTGACTAGATATTGATTAAGGCAATAGACTATGATATTCAGTACAGGAAGCTTAGCAACACCTAGACGGTGTACAGCTAAACCCTTGGCCTGCTTGCACCTCGCGTAAAACGGCGGATACCGGAAGTACGGTGTCGCCCTCGGCCCAATACCCGTATATGTGTGTGAAAGAATAGAGAAACTATAGTAAAAATAAACACTTAAATGTGTATTTTGTACGTTTTCCTTCCAAAAGCCTGAAAGAAAACATGTTATAGAATCAAAATAGCACACAATCTCAAAATTGACCAGTACTTGAAAAACGATGTTTTTGCCTGCCGTGTCTCGCCTTAAAACGAAAAAAGGCTGGTATTTTCGTTGTTTTGGTTCAAACGAAAAATCAAACTAACAAAATGTACAGACTTTTTTTTATTAGGTTTTCTCGTTATCCGTCTTTTGATTCAGACAACACAAACGGGAAAACGGCTTTGGTTTTCCGTTTTAAATCAAAAACGGAAAAAGGCTGGTATTTTCGTTTTTTGGCTTTTGGTTTAAACGAAAAATCAAACTGACTAAACGTACACGGACCTTACTCACACACTAAGGCCTCCTTTATGTAAACAAGACAACATCTTCTTGGAAGACAATCATATATCTTTAACACACTAGACTGGTTTTCAATGGATATACAATTGTTGTATTTCTATATCATTAAACAATGCATTATTTAAATTATGTATAGATATATGGTCGGAGGCTAGTAGGATTATAGATCTATTGAGTTTACCAAGTTAGAAGTTAGACTTGATCAAATCAACATAATACACATTACCCACTTTGCAAACCCATTAGACAACTATCAGACTACAGCAGGGTTGGTTGAATCCTGCGCTAAATCTGAGTTAAACTTTAGTATATTATGTAACAACATAGCAGGCAGCATAAATACATCTTAGTTTAGCGACGCAGCATCGCTGAGGTGGAAAACGGAAGACTGGCTGCATAACAGAACAGACATTATACACGATTCAACAACAACTGCATTTATATGATTTCCGAAAAGTGTTGATTTACCTTCAGATTTGTTTTCGCACTGCAGGAGTTGTTGAAGTCTTTCCCAACTCTCACAACCTCAACTCTCACCAGGGGCGCCGTGAAAAAAAAAAAAAAGGGGGTGAAAAGTTAGGACGATTCTAAGGGCCCGTGACTGACGGGGCCCCCAAAATGTTTAGAACATTAAGAAAAAACAATGTAAGTAACCTTTCATCAATCCTCAATAATTAACATTAATATAACGTTATATTGATAAATTATTCACTAAACTTACGATTCATTTAACTTATTTTCTTTCAAAAGTTAATTATCCAAAGCCTCTGTACACCCCCCTCTATTTACATGTAATGGTTTGGTCCTGCCTCCAAACGCGGTGCAGCACCGGCACTTGCAGAGAGTGAAAGCATGCGAGGAGGGATCCTAGTACTTAGCCCATAGACTGTGTATATATAAAGACTTAGCCTACGTACTTGTGTTGTACGATGTCTCAACGGCTCAAAAAGTCAGGCTCTAAGAAAAAAAGAGAAAGGAGATAAAGACAAGAGAGAGGGACTAAAGGGCGACAGTATGTCACCCAGTTCTTCACAAGAAAAGGTGTGGTCCATGAGTGGTGGAAATTATTCTGTTAGCTAATGTTTTGTTTTTACTAAGCTGACATTAAGTAGGCTACTGTTAATATCTTTACAGAAAATGCAGAGGTTTTTCATTTCACTGCTCTTTTAGCTGACATTTAAAGGTGGGGTAGGTAATTCACTTCAGAAACACTTGTAGTTATATTCCATGGAATGCTCTTAACATCCCGATAGCAATGAATATCTTAAGTGCTTTGACAATAAAAACATGTCATCTGTGGAAGCCGTGGCGCTGTAAAAAGCACGACCAATCATCTGAGCCGGCCAGGCTAAAGTAACTGGATGGCCTACCTGCCTGTCAGCCATCTGACAAACTTATCTCGTGCCCTCATTGGTCATGTGCACGTTTGTGTGTGTTGGAGGAGGGGCTCTGTAAGGAAGTCTGAAGGAAGGGGCAGATTTTTTTCGGTTGTGTACTTTCAGATTCTAGCGCACTCGAGCTGGTTTCTCCATTCTTAACTCCCTACCTTTAGTAAATGCAGGCATATTTTTAGCGTATTAAAGCAGGGGTGGGGAACCTCCGGCCCCCGGGCTAGACGGTACGGCCCTCGAGGTAATTTATAAACAAAGTGGCCTGTGCCTGGTGGTGGGGCCCAATGTGATAAATCCCTGGCGGCGCCCCTGACTCTCACAACCCCAACTCACCCTCAGGTCAAGCCTGCAGCTGTCATATTATGGCAGAGGGGTGGAGACATGTGTCTGTGGTTCGAAGTTCAACTATCGAACCACGATGTTTAAGTTCTTCCTTACAATATAAATCCTTGGACATGCACATATTAAGACATTGTTTCCTCTCCGTTTCTATGTGAATGTAACTATGCTGGCCTTGTTATATCATGAAGGGAGTTCTAGGAGTTAGGGATTATATTAATTATTAAGTTTCAAACTATTTGAATGCCTTAGTTGTAACTATTGAGTAACAAGTGGAGGGCATGCATTTCCCATGGTTTTTATGCATATTATATTGCTTAGTCAGACAAGTAAAAAACATACCCCTCATCTTATTATGTAAGAAATGATCAATACGACTGCAATGAAAAACGCCACAGTACTCATAGTAGTCCCAATAATATTCTCCTGTTAAACCACGGTAGGCCTACCTCTTTATTCTCTTAAATGCAGGTGTTTACAAGCCTAGAGTGAAACAAGAGTGTTACATTTGCATCTTATTTTCCATACATTTTGCATTCCATACTTTTTTTAAATGTCTGTTATAACTGTTTACCCTTATTGTAAATCACTTTTTGCTGCATCTTTTGTATGGGTGGGATCAGGGTGGGATAGAAAATAAAGTCTATAATAATAATAATAATAATGATTGTTGTATTAATAATATTGCTTTCTTTTTTGAAATACTACTTACATGTGTGTCTCTAATACCTTGTCTTATAGCATTGTAAGCCCTATATGGAGCACTTTGAATACGCTTGGGTATACAAATGAACTTCATATAACTTTTGTTGTTGTTGATACTATACAGTGCACAGTGCCATAAGGATGGCCGGGGCCTTGAAGGCAGCACTTCCTGCACAGACAGCCCTGCCTGCAGGATAGTTCCTCTCCTCCATCAGCTGGATGTATCGTTAGCTCCGCAGCTAGCAGCTCTCCAGGCCCAGCGGCCGGCCGGTGCTTCCTCATCTTCCAGCCATGGCGTTGGTTACTCTGCAGCGGTCCCCGACCCCCAGCGCCGCATCCACCGCCAGCACAGCGACCACCACCGCGGGGGAGGTGAGTCTGATCCCGGGTGAACAGAACCGTGGGGAGGCGGACTGGCGGAGGATGAGCGGGATGATGCCGGAGAAGGGGCCCGCTGATTGGGGCTAAATTAGCACCGTTAGGTATCAAGATGCTAGGTCTGTGGCTAGCAAGCAAACGTCTTCGTTAATGATACTCAGAAGCTGCTGGCCACCATTTATGCCAATACGGCGGGTAGATGTTCTCATTGTTAAATGCAATAACATTACTTAAAAAAATATCCCTACACCTGTTAAATGTAGCGTTATTTTTTTTTTTAAACTAGGCGAGTTTGACAAGTGCCTTATGAATGATTTAAGCTAACGTTAGCTGGATTTGATGTCTGGTTGACATTGAAATAACGTATTTTCCTCAACATTAATATAGCTATATCCAACCGTCTGTATGGCACACCATTAGCAGAACTATACGTGGTCACTGCAGTCTCAATACTGCTAAATTAATGTCCATTTACTAATATTAAATCTCAGATTTGTCTGTAAAAGTCTGGTGGCTTGATTCAACTTTATTCTCTTTAGCAGACAACACATCAGAGCCAGTCAGTCAACTACACACAGTGTTTCAATGTCAATTTCTAATTTGCTGTCTCCAATAAGTATGGGGAAGTATGAGATTTCCAGTATGTAAAAAGCAAAAAGGGAAAAGATATCTAACTTTAAGCTTTTCATATACCTCTTTATGGCAGTAAATAGTCCCAGTTTGATCTATTAGTTTACTGGGCAGTCACAGCTAGAAAAAGTGATTGTCCTTGCCTCAACTATAACCATTTAAAGATAACTTCCTCTGCTACTTTCATGTACAAGTATGTTCCTGGTCCTCACTGCCAGATGAGGGTGCTAACCACCAGCTTTAAACAGGAAAGCTCGCCTTTTTCTGCTCTACATGACCAAATCAGAGGAAACAGATATGATATAACTGGGTTTATTTACAACCATCAATGTTTGATCAATAGATGAACACTTACATTTTCAAAGCATGTTCAAAACTGTGCAACATATTAAATGCCATACATAGTTATTATTAATTTGCAGTTAGATGGCTCCTAATAAAATAGTTTCATTAGCTTTATTGATATGACTTGGTTTCGTCTCTGCGCCTCTGTGTTTTTTCTGGAGCGTTTGGTGTAGTCCAGCAGTGTGTGAGGTGTGACAGATAAGGCTGCTGCTGCAGCTATGATGTCATCGGCGGGGGGGGGGCTGCTGGAGTACTACTGTGTGAAGCAGTTAATGCATGACATATCACCTAATGCACAATAATGGAAAGTTAGTCATGCAGTGTAACATGCTCGTCTTGCAGAATTAATCTCTTCAAGCAAATTGTACTCATCTTCTGCATGCCGTAACATTTTTCTTCTTTTCCTGCAAAGTATATTTGACTCGGCTGTAGACTTTCCCAGACAGGGGCTGGTTTCTGTTTACTATTCCTAAAATGGCTGATTCTTGTTTTAGTCAAAGTCACTTAGGGATTTGAACTAACCATTATGTATTGTGTTATATATTGTTATACCTAATCTAAATGGTCAATATGCAGACATGGGTATGAGTCTCTCAAACCTGTATCTGCTGTATTCGAGTGCCAAACCACCAGACAAAGCAAACCTCTTAACATGCTCAGCATCCTCCATAGTCACTCCCTCATCCTCCCTAACTGTTGCCCTAAAGTATACTAAATGTGTGGTGTTTTCCTTTGTAAAAAAGGTGGGTTTGTGACGACCTAAAGAAATGCCTTTGGGTTTAAGTGCTGCATTGTGTGCAGGCTGGTCAGCTGAACTTGTCACGATCTTTACACTGCCATGCTTATCAGCCCCCATTATACCCTTATCATGCAACTGCTTTTTATGTAATCTGTTGCACATCGTGCTTTCCTCTATGCTATTTTAGTAATACCTTACGTTGAGGAGCTTTACATCATGTCTGCATCCTCTGCCTCTTTCAAGCTCCACCTGATGGTGTGGATGTTATTAAACGCATGTAACACACCTGTATTTGTAGTGACTTCACTAGAGGTAGTATCTGCCACAAGAAGTATAACGTACTTGAACTTGTTGTGTAGTGATTCAGTTGTGGGTTATCTTGTTAACTTTAATTATCAATGCAAAATGTTGCAACAGCATTGGTGTGTTATTAATCCTTCCCCTTATCTGTATTGCAGGATTTTGGGAGTGAAGATGAACGGCGAATAAATCAGAGGTAAGTTTACTCCAAGTTGAGTTTTGCCTTTCTGTTGCATGGTACTTGGCAAAGCAAACTTTATACACAGGTGCTGTTGACTGATTGACTAAATCTACTTTGAGTCATCTGGTGAAATCTGGAGTGGCGACAGACTGGCATCAACAAATCAGGGTGACTACGTGTCAGTGTAATGAAACACCTTTCTGTCTGTCTTGTTGGCATCTCCTCCTCTTGCCAATTGTCTTCCAACTGTCAAACCCTGTTATTCGCAGTAGTCTCTCAAGTAGTGTGTTGACAGACAAATCTGCATTTTTTTATTTGAACGTTGCATTCTGAGTTGAGTCACTTGGCATTTCAGTAGCTCTTTGTGTGGAGCGAATGTACTGCATTGAATTGATAGAAAGCCGATCAGGATTTTGGAACTTATGTGTTAGTCATTTACTGGGTAGACATGTAAACACTAAATGGTTTTGTGAACATTTACTGTTTCTAAACTTTCTACCCCTTTCAGTCAAAATAGAAAAAAATAATTATTTGTCTCAACAAAAGATGAAAAGTTGCACTCTGTCCT